AACATTATCGCATAGATACAGCTATCCATTCTATTTGGTAAAGGTGGATTGTTTTGACGGATGACGGAAGCTGTTGGAAAAACGACAACAAAGTATCGCACCACAGGTATTGTTTTTCTGCATGGCCATGAGCTTCAGAACATGATATTGATTCGTGTAATCTTTATTATTTATTATATCAGAGATTCAAATGGAACGTGTAATGTACACACATTTAACAGCAACGTCCTTCCCTCACAGCGTAGCATTGAGAAGGTTTTCATGTGACGACCTTGCTGTGTGTTAGGCAATATTGATGAAACCATCTATCACTATTGTTAACACTGGCTAGGCTCATAGTAGATGATGAAGGAGTGAGTGAGGTGGTTTAACACCGCCCTACTTCTATTCTCGCCATATCACGCACGGAATGAGACACCCTGATTAACTCTTTAACCACTAAGTTACCCATCGCCCCCAAGTCGATGGTGATTATAGTTGACATTTACTATGCTCATCGTAGTCGTAATCTCTGACAGGGACGGGCTGTGACTTAAGCCCCGTTTACACGACCACGTTTACTTATATAAGTAAATATACTTACGTAAGTATATATACTCACATAAATAAAAGTGGTCGTGTAAAGGCATTTGCTTACGTAAGCAAATATACTCCAGGAGTAAATATGCTTATGTGAGTAACATTTGGCCGTTGAAACAAGGCTTTACAATACCTGTTCTCTGGAGGGTGACGGAAGGACATGGTGTTTGTATGTTTGCATATTTGTTAACGCCGCACTCTTAAATAATTAGGTCTGGTACAATCAGTGAGTGAGTGAGTATGGTTTTACGCCGCTTTTAGCAATATTCCAGCAATATCACGGCGGGGACACCAGAAATGGGCTTCACACATTGTACCCATGTCGGGAATCGAACCCGGGTCTTCGGCGTGATGAGCGAATTCTGGTACAATCAAGCAAGTTCTCGACATTGGGAGCAGCGTCCACGACGTCGGGGTACGAGAACATGCTATCAACCAAGTCACCGAGCCTGACAATCCGATCCATTTAGTCAGCTCTTAGGCCGAGCATTTACGTAGGATTCTGGGGACCTATTCTAATCCGCGATCCCCACTCAAGCTAACTGCATCATAATATATAATGTAGCGAGAAAATAGGGATGGGCTGATCACAATGGCTGGTAAATTATGACTTTGGAAAATACTCGATTCTGTTTGGTCAATCAGAGGTTTCAAATGACAATGACACAATTTCCCAACAACTATCAGGAGTCATTTAATAATAATGATGCGTACAATGTATGTTACAAAAAACAGAGCTGCAGGTGCTGCAACATTCAGTGTATGTATGGAAAAACATGATGGGCAGAAATATGGTAGAAATCGACTTATGAAAGTGTTTCAAGTGTTTTAGGAGACTGTTACGTTATCAAACGTTTTTGCATCAGAAGGAGCGGTGTGACGTCATTATAGTGACATTCGGTGTGCAGGTTTGCTTTATTTCTTTAGGGGTTTCAATGTTGCCTGCACTACACGCATCCAAGACCTGTCAAACATGCAGTAATGTATTATGATGACAAATAAAACGTTTGAGCATATTCTAGGCCTTGCATAAACATTCGTTCAGAATCAAATTTGTTCACATATTATTTTCATCACAATCTCCTTTGACTTCAGTAGGCCTTGTCCAGCGATGCTCAAGCCAGTATGTTAACATCCCCTATAGGGATGTCCAGTTTATGCCCAAAGATGCACCCACGGCGACAATCACTTCGTCATAACTGGTAGAAACTCTACCACGCGGATGTGATTTACGTTAAGGAAAATATATAGTGTCATATTGGCATATTCATCTATATCAACATACCAATTACATCCTTGGGAGAAAGCCAAACACTCTGTTTTGTCGATTTTACTTAGGTTCTTTTTTTCATCACTTTAAACTCGTAGTTTCGTGTGGTTTTCTGAATAAGGATAAATCCCAAGAGAAAATGTTCAGTCAAACACCGTTGTGTCGAAGGGACCTACCTAAATACTTCGAGTCATCCGAAACTCGACACAACCAACATTCTTAATAAAGAAGGAATACGCTGGGATCAAGCTTTTACTTCGAGACAAGCGTAAGCTCGACACAACGATGTTCATGCGTATTACATTGAATGACCCAAGGGCAAGGATAGAGTTGGGGGTAACCTACCCTTACCCCAAGAGTCAAAGAGGCAGGCGTAATTATGTAATTTCCAATGCTAGTTATTTTTCTGGAGATATATTTAGTGTGATACTGTTGGATGTGAATTGCCCCTGTCATTACTTTCAAGAGTCGTAGATATGGCTGATGGACAAGGTATACACGTCAAATTGACCAGATCGGTTGGGACTATGTACTCTCACGTGCTTTGTATGACAGCACAAGTCATGCAGTATGGTCTTATAAAGACCAGACCAGAACACCTGTATTAGTTGGAATCATCAGAAACCATATAATATCGTTGAAGGGGTGATTGATTAAACCTGAGGTTATTGTGTTATTTTATCTGACACGAGCACCAAGTTTTATTCACAACATGACCGAAAGCTCTATCATGTGTCAGACGGGTTAATATGCTCGATTGCCATCAGCCATATGTTTGCAATTGTAGAGTCGCGAGGGAATATGAATCATTAGTCGCGTATAATGTCGTGTATACAACGAAATTCGCTTCTTGAGGCCTTCTTGAGTCATGTACATGTTTGATTATTGAATCATTTTTCTTCGGATATACTACTTTTTATACGGAAGCATAAATAGATATATATGATAGAACTGTTGCCCGAATTCTTCTTAGTTCTTAAATTCCTCTATATTTCTTGACCAGCTGGCATTTGACCTAATGCCTGTATCACTTAACAGGACCAGGAGTCGATGCATCTCATGCAGTTGCTGTACCTGTGGCAGTGGTGGGAACTGTGGCGTCGAAGGAAGTAGAACACTCCCTAAGCACATTTCCTGAAACATGAGTGTGTCAGGTACCTCGCTCACATTATTGCTGATATAGCTGATTTTATCACATTTGGCTCATACCAACAGGAACTACCCTGAGTCTGCAAAGAAATTTAGGTTCATCCGAAAGTGAAATATTTCTTTCTGTTGATGACATCTTAAGTGAAACACAATGGTTGATATATGGTATGGTAATTCTTCACCATGAGAACTCACAGAAATGGGAAGGGCAGAATTACTGGAAATCTATTGAAAATATCTCGCACTGGATAAATACCATCATGATGTGGTGCAGTGTTTGCACTTTAAGAACAAGAGTTACATGCAATAAAGGTCCAAGTGGTTATCTAGTTATCTAAGTTATCCGCCTAAACGGTAACTAAAAACCCGACGGAATTAAACATTTTACCATATAAGCCATAAATATACATTGGGCGGTTCCTTAAGTTGAACCTCGTTACATGGAAGCGCCAGTATAATATCGGGGCGTTGCCAATTCTTCATCTTCACAGGTTTATTAATTATCCCAAGAGCCTTATCCTTACACATTTTGAAGAACTAATCAGCTTCTTCCTCACACCATAACGTTATTTTATTCTTCAGTGTGAAAGACAGTTTCTGAAGTTGAGAAAAGTAATATTTTCATTGCAGTTTGATGTTGCACCGCTTTCAGCAATATTCCAGCAATATCATGGCGGGGGACACCAGAAATGGGCTTCACACATTGTACCCATGTCGGAAATCGAACCCGGGTCTTCGGCGTGACGAGCGAACGCTTTGAACACTAGGCTACCCGACCGACCCTCGTTGCAGTGTACATAACCCTTGATATTTCACTGCATTGAACATAACACTTTCACGGAAATGTTGTTATACAAGAGTTACCTCCCCGAACATTGTCTCCCTTTATCGTATGTGTCTGGACCGAACACAAACTGTTGATTTCCTTGGTACTTTAGTTCCACATGACAAGCCAAAATAATGACAGATGGTCATTAATGGAGTTAAATTCGCTTCTTGTCGTGGGTTATTCTCTTGAAAACGATACGTTATAAACTGTAAATGTCTCATGTAACTCACCAGTAGAGGGGCGGTCGGGTAGCCTAGTGGTTAAAGCGTTCGCTCGTCACGCCGAAGACCGAGGATTCGATTCCCGACATGGGTACAATGTGTGAAGCCCATTTCAGGTGTCCCCCGCCGTGATATTGCTGGAATATTGCTAAAAGCAGCGTAAAACCATACTAACTGACCCAATGAACTCACACAATGTGAAAGTCAATTCTTAAATGTGGGCCCACTTTTCTTCTATCATTGTGATTGTCGTTAGGTTGGCTCACAGATAACCATTTTCAAACACGTGGGCCCACGCTCTTCAGTCATTTATAGTGATCGAAACATGTGGGCACACACTAATAGATAAGTTGTAACGTGTGAATGTCCGTTGAGCAACATTAGATTGGCTTACTCATCCCTCATTTGTAATTTTGTTGCACGGATCTATAGCACCACATATTATTCTCGTTTTGCTATATTGATGGGAAATGTCTACACAAATCCACCCGTTAATATGCGACTAAGGCATTTAGAATCACTGTCAAAGTACAAGAAGTGGATTTTCTCTGAATATAGCAGTGTTAGCTGTCGTGCCTGATGGTAGACATTACATATATTACCCAGAGAAATATATGACAAAGACATATCTATTGGAAGTTTTTTTAATAAAAGCTATTACTTGGTACTTGATATGATCAACGAATGCCGTGAAAATGTTTTTTGAATGACTTGAGAATATTCAGCCATCTCTTCATGAGTACAATGTTCCAACATGTATTCACAATACCATCTCTCTTCAGAGAGACTGAGGTTTGGTTTGTTTGTTGTTTAACGCCGCACTCAGCAATATTACAGCTATTTGACGGCGGTCTGTAAATAATCGAGTCTGGACCAGACGATCCAGTGATTAATATCATGAGCATCGATCCATGCAATTGGGATTAATGACATGCATGAACCAAGTCAGCGAGCCTGACCACCCGATCCCGTTAGTCGCCTCTTACGACAAGCATAGTCGCCTTCTAGGGCAAGGATGGGTTGCTGAAGACTTATTCTATCCCGGATCTTCACGGGCCTCAGAGAGACTGAGGGAACCCCCACAGCGAACAATGTTCCTTTCCTGATTGCCCTGAAGCAGGCAACCAGTGTCTCCAAGAATGTCCCCATCGCTGTGCCATAGAACGTCGTCTCTGGATCACAGACCGCTAGAATCACCGCCATTGGTCAGTGATGAAATACTCTAACACCAATGAACCTACGCTTTTAATCAGTGGCATGTGGCGCCACGTGATTGAATTACATAATACTCCAGTTGTAGTAGCTTGTCATCTGGTGCGTGATACCCCCCAGTCTCTACTTGAGAGCCAGTTTAGACTCTTTGTTCATCACTGGGTAACCTGAATAATATACAAATGAGATTTCAGAGCTTCGATATCTGACGTATCTGTGCTGTTCACATACTGAAACACATGTTAATTTAAGAAAAACAATGCAATGATTTGAAGCAATAATGAGCACCGAGAGACGAAATAAATTGTTTGATAGGCATTACTTAGAAGTTGACGGGTGACAAGGTAAACACAATTTTATCCGCCTACTATGAACTCATCAAGTAATAATCACTTATCCTGTTTAATTGGCTTCATGTCCCATTGGCTTCCACCTGTGTGTTCTCTGTCCATCGTGTTGTGACAGTATTATCCCTTTGTTGTCAACACCTACCTATGTTATCCCACTCATGTATGCAATTGTTGTTACTGTTAATCCTCCACCTACTATATATATTCTGAACTATGTCCCTCATTCCCTCCGTGTGCGAAATACGCATCAGTCGGAAAGCGCACGTTAAATCTCCAAAGTAAGTAAGTAAGTAACTCATTCCCTCATAATAGACCTCCCCGCCCCCCAAGTAGATACCTCCATACACACACTACTCCAATCACAACCCAAACACAACAAAACAGACAAAACAAAATTAGCACTCACACACATACACAGGGCCTGGCCAGCATACACCCACATATATACAGACGCTTCCCCAAACAAAAACCACGTTTCCGGCATAGGCATACACATTGATCAAACCCCGCCCGTCTCCACTAACTTCCACTACCTTAACCACTCAAATAACAACACTGCTGAACTGTAAGCATTTCTTACTGCAATTCACTCTACTAAAACAATAAATGAAAACAACTTCCTAATCATCTCCGACTCCCTAAGCGCACTCACACAAATCAAAAACAAACACTCAAAAACCCGGCCCGATCTCATTAACAACATTATTTATCTTACCTACAATCTCTCCACACAAAACAAACATATACACTTCCTATGGTCCCCGGGTCACTCAAACATACCCGGTAACCAAATAGCACATACCCTCGCAAACACTGCCACCACCAACCCGTCCCTCCAAATCTATTTCCAATGCACCCAACTCTACAACTCCACCCCCCCCCCCCCCCCCTTCAATACAAACGTTGCTAAACTGTTCTCACCGGATAATACCCAACCCATATTCAATGCCATTGCCACTTTTATCACAAACAGTAACCTAACAAACCGCTTTTAATCTAAACCTGTAGCAAATACGGCCACTTCTCTTAACTTTTTCTTCATAACATCAAAACAGGATCGAGATCCAAACCCCCCAACTTAATACACTTCTCCGACGTCCGCGCCCCAAGCCCGTTTACCCATTCTACCAACTCAACACCCCAGTCATCCAGCCCTCCCCTTACCAACCCCCAATCACCTAAACAGCCCTTAAACCCCTTTTTCTTTCCTTACCAACAGTACCCCGCTCACTTAGCAGCCTAACTGCTACACTATTATCCCCCCCCCCCCCCCCCCCCCCCCCCCCCCCCTCGCCTTAGGGCACGTTACGTCCCTCCCCACTTACAGTTTTTTGGGTATGTTTACATATTCTCATTTTATTTATTGTTACTATCACCACCTACCCCGTCCGCGAAATGCAGTAAATGCGAAGCGGACGTTAAACCCCTTAAATCCAGCCAGCCAGCCTCATTCAGTCTCGCTTGACAACGGTATAAGGATCTATACCGAATCGTCGCTTTTTACAGCATTAAAGAAGTTGTTATCCATAAAATTGTTTCTACCTTGAGAGACGAAATGTCATAAAGTAAAAAAACCCAACAACTCTCCTCCCACAACAGCATTTTCCCTAAAGAAACAATTCCGTATACTGAAATACAGATAAATAAAAACACTTCGTCCTATCACCTCATGTTTGATGCAGATGACAAATGTTTGAACAAGGCCTTCCTATGATGACATTTTGCCATTTTTGTGTGCACGGTAGCTTACCTGTGTAGATATTTGAAGCATTTTCAACCTAATCTTTTCTTCAGTAAACCTGTTCTAGACCTGATGCTTTGAGTGGAAATGTAGAATATGGAACATCATCCTCGATTTCCAAGGGTATTGTATCGCCGGGTAGTTAATTTGCTCGTGTCAAAGTCAAGCTCGGCAAAGTCCGGCGGTCGTCATTGCACAGTGTCATTACATTCTGTGTGAGGGAGTCAGTGGCCCGACTATTCCATTCTCTTGTTGTTTAATGGAACACTCATACTATGTATTGACTTCATGTGTGTTATCTCTTATATGTTCGCTACCTTATTCTTGTATTGAAAATGTTTTTGTAACTTTAATATTTAAACATTAGGAGAATTTACATGATCATTTTTGCCTCCTCAATAATTGTACATGGTGTTGAATGTCCTTAATGATACTGTTGTATAGCGTATGTTCAGCACTTTATTGTGATACTTGTCAAAATAGATTGTGTTTACCCCATGTTTAGAAACAGTTTGGCTCATCTCTCCAGGAGAGATTGTGACTGAACATCTATTTAGTAATTAGTGTTTCCAATACTCAGTTTTTCTAGTAATCGTTGAATAACCAACCTTCCCGTGATTATCTAGCATTTCGGAATTTTAGCATTTGCTTGTTCAGTCAAAGTTCCTGAATCTTTAGTCGATCAGACTAGTTTGATATTCAGACGTACTTGTCTATTTTATCGGCAAAGTGACATATTTTAGGGGAAGGCTCTCTTTGTTTATTTCTCGTTATTTAACCCAGCACAGGTTTTTCACACATTAGAGTATTGAGTTAATTGACTCAGATGTAAATTGGTGGCAGGCGACATAATTAGCTGTTTCCTCATCTGGGCGGTATCTTGTCAAAGTGTTGTTTTATCTACTCTTAGTTTATTACTGTGATAGAGTTGCTTAGCTATGCCGCTTGGGTATTTGGTTTGATTTAATTAATCAGTGATCTTTGTCAGCGCAGATTGGGGAATCTGATCTTTTATTGTCTCTATTAGTACAATAAGCTGTTATTAAAAAACATGTGAACCTATTGCCACGTTTTCATTATTAAATTACTTAATGACACACCTCATCATTGGAGCACGGCACCGGCACCATGACAACATACTGTAAGTATCTTGGACCCTCAAAGCTTAGTTTGTGAAGCCTGATGTTCCTAACCTAGCACAGACTGTCTGTCGCTCATGACTGTAATTTGATTGGATAACACATAATTTCAATCAGACTTTAAAACATAATAGAAAGCTATGATAGCGAATGGGTCCAGGGTATGTTTTAAAAAATAGAAAGAAGATACAATACTCAAGATAACGAAAGATCCGTCGCACGAGTACAGCGGAAACGCTGACTACAGTTGAGTGAGTGAGTTGGGTTTAACGCCGCTTTCAACATTATTCCTGTTATATCACGGCGTGTCAACTTAATGTGGGAGGAAAGCCCGAAGTGATGCAGGTCTCAGACATTTACCAGTTCGGTGAAACCCACGAGCACGGGTATGGTGCTGACAAACCTAGAAACATAATTGGGGCGAACCGGGATTCGAACCAACAATCATAGGTTCCTGGCGCGTCCAAGCGACGCAACTTTGCACAGCGAATCGCGGCGCCTTAGACGACTGCCCCCCTGACTACAGTAGAAGAAGAGCCAACCAAACAAGGGCGATAATCACCACCACCAAAATGACTGATGTAAACACAACTGAAGTCTTGCCTACAATTGCTTCCTGTTTGTTCTTTTTCTGGCAGTGATGTACGTGGTCAAATTTAAACCTTTGTCAAGGAGTCCAGCTATCCTTTTCACCCTGCTGTATGGATTTGAAATAGCGATGGGTATTTTTCATAACAGAAAGAAGATATAATACACTGGATGACCACTGCTGATTGAACATGTTTTCGAAATAATTAATGCAAAACTTACTGCAGGTCGCGATCGTTCCTTCATACGAGCATAGTCGAACCACCCGATAAAGCAGAAGACTGCACACAGAGCAAGGGGGATTATGAGGCCCACGAAATAGATCATCACTGGCAAAGCAGGGTTCTTCTTGTTTGTGTAACTAAAAGTGTTGACTGTCTTGATTGCCTTTGCACCGACAGTGATTTGCATGGTCAAATTGAAACCCTTGTCAAGGAGGTCAGCTATTCTTTTACCCTCGCTGTAGGGAATTGAAATGGCGACGATCCCTTCAACTGAAACACAAGAATACAGATTGAATAGTATTTACTCATGTGACATTCAGTTCCTGTTTTTTTAAATCTAACTTTATAAAGATGAACAAGGGTTTAGCTGTGATGAATTATGCCAACCAAGACTTATTTTCTTTCTTATGCCAATAATTGTGAATTGGGTTTGGCCACAAAAGAGCGTCCTCCACATTCTACCGTCCTATCTTAATGTTTATTTCCAGTCTTGATCTAATTGTAATTTGTAGCATTTGGAAACTGAAATATTGCCTCTTTGTGATTGGGGCTTAAGTGAATGGCTGGACTCATCATAAATCCGAATAAGAGAGCTCACACCTGTGTACGGCAATGCTATGTCATGAGATTGTGTCTGCAAGGAGAGTGTACATCTGTATGCAACAAAGTAATGTATGTGATTGTTTGTAGGAGTGCCAGCCTTTTATTTCACAAGGTTTTGTGTCACTTACTATTATAAGGGACACGTGCACACTCCAGTCTTTGTTATTTGAGGGTATCTTGTAGGCGTGTCTTCTGCAACTCAGGTGTTTTATCGGAGGGTAGTAGTGAAGTTGCTGGTGTGCCTCAGCACATTGTTGATTTGCAGTCAGATTTGGTTAAATTTGGTTTGATCAAAGGTGGCGTTCTCTTGCTTGTTGGTTATGACTTAGTGGCTCTGTGGCTAACAAAATACGAGTAAGAGGCCACTTACGATCTTGCTGGTACTTTTATTGATCATTCTCTTTAGGACACCTCTTCTTGAAATGAGAGTACTTTTGTTTCGAGCAATACCGTTCCTTTAGACCCTGTACGACTCGTACGCAGCTAATTTATTTCGAAGGATGACGATCCTTAAACTTCTCGCTAGATGAACACTTTCTACTGATGAGGCTCCAAGGCCCCTGTTGGTTTCTACTACCAAGATGGTGTTTTGATGAGGTCTAAGTTAGACCCCTGACCTTCTGCTGCAGATGTTTGGAAAGCTTCTCTCCAGATTGTGGTTTCACAGAGATGTCAGAGTATTTTGCTCAGGGTGTTTCACAGTTTCGTAACACTTGTCATGCTTGTTAGGTGGAGATAAAACCTAATAAAACATTCCCCCTGCCCTTTTGAACCGATACCAGATCTGATTTTTTGTTTTGTTTTGTTTTGTTTGTCGTTTAACGCCAATATTCCAGGTATATGACGGCGGTCTGTCCATAATCGAGTCTGGACCAGACAATCCAGTGATTAATATCATGAGCATCGATCCACGCAATTGGAATCGATGACATGCATCAACCAAGTCAGTGAGCCTGACCGCCCGATCCCGTTAGTCGCCTTTTACGACAAGCAGAGTCACCTTTTACGGCAAGCATGGGTTGCTGAAGACCTATTCTACCCCGGAATCTTCACGGGTCTGTCACTGTCATGATTTAACGACATTCGATGCTAGCATGTAAACGAAATGCAACAATGCTGGCCTCGACACAGTGGTTCGTGTATGTTATGGTTCATTGTAGTTTCTGAAAGGTGAGGTGAGGTGAAATGGGGTTTAACGTCGCGTCCAAGATTATTGCACTTATATAGCGACGTGCATGCACGTGTATGAGTGTGGCTGCTTGTACTAGTCCGGACTGATGCCTATTTAGATTCCATGCCGCAGTTTAACATGAATACCCAACTCAGACACAGTATACTGACTCCAAGCCGACCAGTCCTTGTTTTAGCCCCTTAATGCCGAGCGCCAGACAGGGTAACAACAAGTACCATCTTTTAACGTCTTTTGGTATGACGCGGCTGGGGATCGAACCCCGGAACTTCCGCTCTCCTGGCGGACGCTCTACCATTAGACTGCAGTCATTTTTTTAATGAGTTTTCGTGGCGTTCGGAAGGGAGCATCTTTTTCTGATGGACTTTCAAAATACCCTCCTGTCAAATCCTAACGTTGGTGGTTACCTGAGATCGCGTTGAATATTGATCACAAAAAGTTGTAAACAACATGTTGTCATGAATAAAGTTTTAAAAACACTTTTTACAATGTTTTATTTAGAGTTATTAGAGTTTGTTTCAATGAGGAAATTACCGAACATATCCTTCCACTTTTAGAACGTTATCATTTGTATGCAAAAGATATGCCTTCATCGAGTTAAATGTTGTCATCTCATCACCAAACCAGTCTTGGTTACGGCCTATGACGTCAAAATCGTAACAAAAAACATCCGATATCAAACGTGCCGTATTTCCTCTATTAGACGCCCGGGTCTCTAATAACTTCGCGTGAACCGTTGACCCGGCGTTTATTAGAGAACCGGTGTCTAATAGAGGAAATACGGTATACAGTTCTGATGGGCTATCGCAGCCATTTTCTATGGATCGATATTTAAGCTATCGATATATTCACGAGCACTGATTTTGTGTGGAAATGCTTATGTTAAAAGAGGTTTCAGTAGGAAAGAGGATTCTGCTATTAGCCAAAAAAATCAAAAATCAAAAATCAAGCGTTCTTCAATGTCATGGTAGAAGTGGGAGTCAACACGAAACGGCATTCAATTTGTAACCTGATATTCAACCCAAACGCAGAGTTAATTACTCACGAAGCAAGCGGAAAACAATGACTGGTTGGGGGATACATAGTGGTGACTGCCGGGTGGTGGTGGTGGGGGTGGGGGTGGGGGTGGGGGTGGGATGTGTGTGTGTGTGTGTGTTGGATTTCTTTGTTATGAATTTGAGGCATGTGACTAGTCATGACACAAGTAGACAGGCTCTAAACCAAGCAGAGGAAAATATATTTGGATATTTGTTTCCTCCTGGAAATACCATTTCAAACTGGGATTGTGAACTCTAAATGTCTGTTTTATACTAATTGCTATAGTTATCAATAGAGAGTCACTATATTTTCTCACCCAAAAGCATATTACATCGGACATATAGCCATCGTTTCTAATATTATCAAGACTAAAAGTATTATCTAAAAGTATATCTAAATGAAAATAGAGAGTAAAATAGTCCGTTTCTTTCTATGATACATTTATGTGTCTTTTCTTGCCAATTCATTATACTCTATTTACAAAGTGATTATTTTGCTGAAAGTAGAAATTTATGATTTTCAAACCACAAATTTTATAAAATTGGTCACATTTACAGAGATTAAAAAGACAAGACATGTATGATGAGACTTTTACAAATGCATCATTAACAAGCCTTCAGCATGTTTCAACATCCATCTGTGTAAATTAAAGGGCCATAATCAAGTATGCATTTAGTAATCACCTTTTAAAAAACAACTTAAAGACAATCAAAACTTATTGTTACACATGCCCAGGGGTATGTAGTGCAGGAAAGATATTTATTCATGATACCACAAGTTTTTTATTCTACTACACGTGCCACTACTGTTTCCAATATGCTATATATGTCACTGACAAAAGCCTACACTTTTATTCAAAGTGTTTATCATAAACCGCGTACATCAGATAGCTACTCGAGACAGCACAAAGAACAACGATATTTTAGAAGGGGGAATAAGCTGGTCCCATAGATGTAGCTGAACAAGCAGGTAAACGCAATTTCAGAAAGATCGCAGCAAAACTGGGCGAGATACGACAATCTGTAATGGGGTAAAAGGTACAGATAATTGCCCTTAATTATCTGTGTTATTGTAAATACCAACCTTAACCCCTCTGTTCACGAAATGAACTTGTCCGACATTGCCGAGATCTGATTGTATTCAGGGATTCATCACTATTTAAGGAGATGTAAACATTGTTAAAGCTTGTAAATGTTATCAGCATCCTCAAAGAGGCTTTAAATAAAGTTGATAAATGATATGAGAATGATCAGCAAAACATTCATGAGCATCTGAGGACTGTGTAAAATACATCGCAAGGTTACAATCTAAATCTGAAAACCCCCGAGAAGAAACAAGATATGTTGATGACTGTATCAACTGAAAATGCGTGATAATATGAGTGCGGTAAGTTCATGTTTTAAAACCAATCGACTGCAGACACTTGATTAATACATAACCTCAGAAGTCACAGACAGAGGATTATTGTTGTCACTGGCTTACATTCCTTTGTGTTCTTATGACGTATCATCCATGTTTTCCTAACCTTGCCTCTTCTCAATAGTGAAACTGGTCAACATTCAAGGAAATGGCCCTTACTCCCTATCTGTTATTCCTTCACCACGATGGCCTAAATTTATCTAATAAATGTCGATATGAAGATCCAGGGTAGAATAGGTCTTCAGCAACCCATGCTTGCCCTAAGAGGCGACTATGCTTGTCGTAAGAGGCAACTATGCTTGTCTTAAGAGGCGACTAACGGGATCGGGTGGTCAGGCTCGCTGACTTGGTTGATGATCATCGATCCTAAATGCGTGGATCGATGATCATGATGTCAATCACTGGATTATCTGGTGCAGACCTTTTATTTATAGACCGCCGTCATATAACCGGAATATTGCGCCGTTAAACAACAAACACACACACGTACACACACACACACACACGCACGCACGCACGCACGCACGCACGCACGCACACACACACACACACACACACACACACACACACATTTAAACCTACAAAAAGGTCTTAATGCCGAATTAATGTCGCCTATAACCCCGTGACATTTCCATGTAGTTTCTAAAAATCGATTCTTTAATGCTGTTTTACGCGAATATGTAGAGTATGTACATGTGCTCACAAGTCACTCTTCAGGGTTCAAGTATCGGCTGCGTTCATGCCAGAGATATCGAGTGACACTCACAGTCAAGGTTTGTCCTTCTCCATTACGATCTCAGCTATGATCAATTCATTGTTAACACATGTGACCTTCTGCTGCGACCTCTTTACTTAAAGCATGTAAACAATAATGACTTGATCACCCTAAGCGGAGACCATATCTATTTCATGGTCTCTGCCCTTAGTTGTTAGAGAAATACATTGATACGAAAGCTAACCGCTAAATGAGACGAATGTCTATCCAATTTTGATCTCGTTATATGGTAAATTTGTCCACAGCAAGAGGGGCGGTCGGGTAGCTTAGTTGTTAAAGCGTTCGCTCGTCATGCCGAAGACCCGGGTTCGAATCCCGACATGGGTACAATGTGTGAAGCCCAATTCTGTTGTCCCCCGCCGTGATATTGCTGGAATATTGCTAAAAGCGGCGTAAAACCAAACTCACTCACTCACTCACTCACTAGCAAGAATTTCCCTTCTGCCAATCTGGGTACCTTCCTATGTTGAAGTTAGTCCCTGTGCGGGGCAGAGGATAATGTACGTATCCGTCAGTGAAAATGAAATACTTATTTACTATTGAGAGTCACGTTTCTCTTTTGGTCAATTACCCTTTTTAATGATGGTGTGTCTAGATACTCTTATGGTCAAGTGCCTTGTATTTTGGTTAAGTTTAGAATTTTCCTTGCCCAGTCAAAAAGACTGAGACTTCAGTCTATAAGAATAGTTTGATATTCAGGCGTTTTTCGTCTATTTTATTGCCCAAGAGACTTTCTTCAGGGATACATCTTCGGTATATATTTCTCCCTATTTCATCCCGTTGAGATTTCACTCATTAGAGTGTAGTAAATTGGTCGCTTAATTGCATCTTGATAATTATCTTGTCAAAGTGTTGATTTAGCGACTCTCCTTTCTTATTACTGTTATACAGTTACTAAGTTAATCAGCTTGTGAGTGAGTGAGAGAGTGAGTATGGTTTTACGCCGCTTTTAGCAATATTCCAGCAATATCACGGCGGGGGACACCAGAAATGGGCTTCACACATTGTCCCCATGTCGGGAATCGAACCCGGGTCTTCGGCGTGACGAGCGAACGCTTTAACCACTAGGCCACCCGACTAGATATAATTAATATGATCATTGTCAGTGTAAATTGGGTTTTTGATACTTTATATTGTCGTCTATTGATACTATAAACTGATGCTAATAAAACTGTGAACTTTGACCACGTTTTTAATTATTACTTTATTCTTGTTTAATGACACCCTGGCCTCAGAAGCACAGCTCAGTGACAGGACATGTGTTGGATACACAGTGCCACATGTGACAAATGTAATATTTGGGATAACAGTTTCTTCGTAAAGTACATCGATTCCAGTACTTTTTGGGATTGAATCCCATCCGGGGTTCGAACCCACACTCCCAGAGTGTGGCACCCAATCGCTGCCATTTGTGGGTTCTAATCCTGGATGGGACTCATCCTAAACAAGTACTAGACACAACTGACCCCTGAAGATCCGGAATGAATAGGTCTGCAGCAACCCATTCTTGAAAGGCGACTGTACTAAGAGGCGACTAACGGGATCGGGTGGTCAGGCTCGCTGACGTGGTTGATGCATGTCATCGTATCCCAATTGCGTAGATAGATGCTCATGATGTCAATCACTTGATTGTCTGGTTCAGACTCAGTTATTTACAGATCGCCGTCAAAGAGTGCGGCGTTAAACGACAACAAAGCAGTTAATACATAGGTTACAATACACTGGTTCTAATACAATCTGGCAAAATCACGATAACGGGAACCTCATTGTACAGTCATTGTATTCACTGCATAAGGAATAGCAACGCATGTTTACCCATATTTGACAATTTTCATTCAAGTGCAAACATGGTAAATGTACATCCTGCGCACACTTGGCGTGTCGTCCCATGCGCATGCGTATAGGTAAATCTGGTTTATCCAATAACATAGGGGCTGTCGGGTAGCCTGGTGGTTAAAGCGTTCGCTCGTCACGCCGAAGACCCGGGTTCGATTCCCGACATGGGTACAATGTGTGAAGCCCATTTCTGGTGTATCCCGCCGTGATATTGCTGGAATATTGCTAAATGCGGCGTAAAAATCAAACCCACTCACTCACTCCAATAACATAAAGTCAGTAGGCGATATAATGTGTAAAACTGACCTGTCTGATTTACTTGCGAAATATGCATTTACCAGGGTTATACACAGCGCCACTAGGTCCGAAAGTCCGAAAATTAATGAAAATCCGGAGGGACTAGTTGTTTTCACCAAAGTCTAGCTAGTTTATGTAAACAACTAGTCCCAAATGAAGTGCTGACTAGTTGGATATGACCAAAGCTGTCTCTGATTTACCGATACGCAAAACAAGCATATTGTTTGCATGTAAATATATGTACGGTTGTTCATGATTATGAAAACTCAAGCTTGTTTATACGTTTTCAAATTCTAGGAACATCAGAGTGATCCATTGGTTTCTGGCCAGTGTTGATATGATAAGGGTCGTTAAACACGTGATTCCCGAGCATCAGATAAACTGCGTGAAGACGATTTCTAACCGTCTTGTCTGTAACTTGAACTCTGGTGGCCTGGCGCAAGTAATCAGCGATTTCATTGGCTGTTTGAGCTCGATTTCCTAAAGCCTGATTTCTGATTAATCGGTCCCGGACTTGTGTTTTACGAAAGAGTGTTGCCGTTTTGTGTAAAGCAATATATTTAAAAAACTGATACGGTAAAAAGGTGTTGCTGTTTTTGTCTGTTGATGTTCTCACATGTGTTCAATTAAAAATACTTGATGATGACATATTTTCTGATTAATATCACATTGTGATGATAATGAGATCTCTATTGTTATGTCATATTTGAACGTGTCATTGTGCCATTGTTTGTTGCTTGTCGTAGCACATACATTGTTTACACATACATTGTTTACACATACATTATGGAATGTAAATAATACCTACCATCGTGTTTCATGATATGCAAAGGCGTCTTGACATTCTTCATATCGTAGACAACGACCGCAGAAGCATTATATCTCATAGCATTGCTGATCTTCTTTGAAAACTTGCATTCTCCACGAGCAATCAATGCGATCCATTTCACCTGGGGAATTGTCACACTGTAGTCATCACACCCATGTTGTTTGCCTGAAACTGTTTTTACGTGGACGACGACACCACTCGCTGCCCCAACCTTCAACCTTGCAGACTTCAGCGTGTATCCAAATCGACCTTCAATCCTAAAAGATACTGTCTCGTTGGATGTTTTCTGTGTGTACGTTATATCTAAAAAGGCGTTATAGTAAAAAACGGACGTCGCCGACAAAGAAAGTTTCGGTGATAGCAACAGAACCATTATGATTATCTTGAAGATGAGATGTGTCTTTGGTAGCCATATTTGATGGCAGGCGGTTGTTCCAGGAATGAATTCAAAGGCTGATCCCCTCCTTCTGCTGTCAAACATTGTGATATAGAGTGGGTGTCCTTTAAACCATTGAACAACGAAGCTCGTTTCTCAACCGCCAACCGCAAAAGTGTTCCAACTGCGAGGAATGCGTGACCTCCCTCGTTATCGCTTTGCAGTGTTTGGGTGTGACGTCATGAGACTGACATTGTTCGACAGCGCCATCTATAAACACAGGTCATTGAGTTGGCAAGTCAATTTTACAACAAAGAGGAAGGATAAATAACACGTTGACTGAAAATTAAAAAGTACTCTTTTTGAAGTTACAAGGGACATATTCTCATATCGCACCGATTGAACAAGATTACCGCAGGGCCGCCTCCGTGGTCTAGTGGATAGAGGTATGCTGGGAGCGGAAGATCGTGGGTTCGATCCCCGGCTACGTCATACCAAAAGACGTTAAAAGATGGTACTTGTCACCCTGCCCCGCGCTTGGCATTAAGGGGATAGAATAAGGACTGGTCGGCTCGGAGTCAGTATACTGTGTCTGAGTCCGGTGTTCATGTTAAACTGCGGACTGGTATCTCATTGAGCTAGCACTATAAAATCGTCATAAGTCCGGACAAGTACAAGGAGCCCCACTCATGTGCATGCACGTTGCTATATAAGTGCAATAATCTTTAACGCGACGTTTAACCCCACTTCACCTCACCCCACAACATAGAAGCTGTGAGGAGTACACATTGTGTTGTGTCCGAAGTCTACAGGGTGTTATGAGATAAATTGAGAAAAGTAATGGAGATAATTTCCCCCCTTGTCGTACGCAAGCATAACTCAGAAAAGGAGCTGATACGTTACCATTAACCATAACACGTGATTTTATATTTGAGTACACGCTGTCGTCCAAGTAGCGTACGCCATTCAAATTGATATTAAGATGAGTTGTGGTCTCACATGAGTTGTGATGCCACCCCATACCATTACACTTCCACCTCTAAACTGATGACGTTGATCGCAACGCTAACGTCGACAAAACTTACTCCTGGATGCACGTCGACGCTTGCACGACCGTCAATGCTGTCTAGATAAAATTGGGTTCATCTGTTAACAGTATACTGTCCCAGTCTTGTCGCCTGAGCATCAGATGCTGTGCACACCAAGCTAGACGTGCTGGAAGGTGACGCTGAAGCAAACTTCCATGTATGGCAGTACGTCGGTGCCGGACTTCGTGCTCCCTAAGCCGTCGGCCTCAACCCAGGGGTTGTCCGAACTGTTAATATGGAAGTTTGCTATCGATTCCGTAGATACACCTACCGAAATAAGGCATGTAATATCCATATATGTACACATATGTGTATCATATTCACTTGGAAGCTTATTGTTGCACAGTTCAAACAGCTGTTCTACTCTCTCTCTTTTTGTTATGTACTTTCCTTTCTGACAAGGCAGTGTATCGGCATGGACGCCCGTCTGTTTTGCATTCTCCATGTTAAGGTCTGTCCCCAAAGTACGCCGTGATATAACTGGAATACTGTTAAAAGCGGCGTAAAACTCAACTCACTCACTCACTCACTCACTCACTGTCCCCGAGGTACGGTTAAACTGTAAGCTAATTATCTAAGTAAGCTAATTATTAAAAGGAAATATGATGAACTATTAATTACATGTTGATATTTAAGCTTTCTGACGTAAACCACCACTTACATTCTCAAGTATGCATATATATAATGTCATTGTCAAATAGAATTAAAGAAATGTGATAACAAATATTTCAAAAATAAGAATATCTTCTCAACAATCAAATTTACCAGACAATAATTTTACTATCTTTCCTTACTTCAACATTCTCTTATCAAGTGAAGGATTGTTGTTTGCATGACGAAAGTTTTAAACTGTAATGCAATCGAAGGAAACAATAGGAGCATAATTACATTGTACTCGAGTCGAGTACCATCTTACTATGGTATGCAGAGATACGACTCGTGTTACAGTTTACTGGCAAAGGCTGGACTTAATCATGGGTCATGTTTGTACGAGTATCATATTCCACATTAATATCATATGTCATTGAGTGAGTGAGTGTTGTATGAAGCCTTATCTAACAATACTCCAGCTGAATCACACATACTACTTTTGGGATCGTCTTACACGGAAGACCTTTTTAGTTTTTATTGGAAGATGTACTACTCGAAAGAAGTTAAAGAACACCCAAGTTTTTATATTACTATAGTTAATTTGTCATGGCATGACCCGCTGGGGTGATATACAAGTCAAGCCCTCAGTTCCATTGGTGGTCACCCGGTTCAAGGCCCCCGGAAGGGAACAGTTTCTTTATATCAGCAAGGGAGAGCGTCAGATTGCTCTCGCCAGCAATCTTGAAAAATGCATGACATGTCCAGTCGTCTAAGACGCCGTAATTCGCCACGCAGAGTTACGTCTGTTTGGTATACCAGAAACCTATGATCGGGGGTTTGAATCCCGGTTCTCAGGATCAAGGAATAAGGTGAAATCACCAAGTTTAGTAACACATGTCCCATAAATCAAGGAATAAGTTTTCCCCTTGAGTTTGGAGTGTTTGACAGTCGTGTCTAAAATTTAAAAAAACACCAAATTTTTTACATAATTGAACTTTGTTGTTTTCTGATATTACAAAAAAAACCAAGCAAATCCCCGAGTTTCAGAATCCACATGGTATTGATTCCATTTGTCTCAAATACTTTCTTTACATATAAAGATAGTTTCCCCTTGACTGTATTAAGGGTTATGGTTTGAGACAGGGATTTGGTGTTACAAATCTCTTTGTACGAAGTTTTCGGTGCTTTGGAATAAAATACAAAAGAGGAATGAGCATGTCTTCAGGTTTTAGAGTCAAAACAGAAGTTGATAATACTGAATAGTGGTTTTGGGCAGATAACTTCCTCGCTTAACATACACTGGCCTCACATGTGTAATTATTTGACGTATCACTTATACGAAGATTCTTCAATCTCAAACTATTAATGAAGAGATGCTTAGATATCATGGTATTTTGGGCCTTGTCAGTGGGAACAATTACATTACTTTCATGTAGAACATTCCCGTGAAGATCCGGGGTAGAATTGGTCTTCAGCAACCTTTGCTTTCCGTAAAAGGCGTCTATGATGGTCGTAAGAGGCGACGAACGGGATCGGGTGGTCAGGCTCACTGACTTGGTTGATGCATGTCATCGTATCCCAATGGCGTGGATCGATGCTCATGATATCAATCACTGGATTGTCTGGTCCACACTCGATTATTTACAGACCGCCGTCATATAGCTGGAATATTGCTGAGTGCTGCGTTAAACAACAAACAATCAAATCAACAATCATGTAGAACAGGAGATGAATTTGAAATACTAACAGCAACAAAACCATTTCCATAATCATGAGAAATATCTGCTGAAATCATAGTTCATAGATATGTCCAACTGTATTATAGCAGGTGTTTATGAATCACTATCAATTTGTGAAGATACCGTGTTTGCGCGAAGAGGTGAGGCTACAGTGGCATCCACCACAAACATGTGCAAAAGCAAGTCAAATGAATCAACACGGTAACGCATGGCAGAGGTCAAAACAGTGACTTGCATCCTTTGGTTCGCTGATGCGTCAAATCTAGTAATTTATTCACAATGGGACTAGCGAGAAAGATTGTAATTCAGTACACAAACATATCTCTATCAAGACAAACGGTCCCAACTAGAGTATAATTATACATAAGGGTCGTTCGTAACATGCGTGGCACCCACGTTTCTTAAAAGCGCCTCCATCCTCAACATACCTGTGTCCTCCTGTACACATGATTCGTTAATCCGGAAATATGTTACTGGTTCCGACCCGCCACCATAGATTCACTTCTCAACGACAAATGTGTTAATGTTGTAAAGCCTTTATTGTATCAATATAGCACCAACATGTTTACACGTGATTTTGCCAGGTTTATGGCTGAAAATCGATGTAGCTGGTCGTTGAGTCAGATTATGGTGTCTATCTCCCTCGCCTGGCCTGAAATAAGAGTAAGCCAACACTTCACACAAGTGAACACGTTAATGTGAGCCACCATTCGTCACCACTCGCCCCTTTCCGTAACCTGCAAGAAGACTCATCCCCCTATCGATGAATGTTATGTGCGAAAATACGACACACCAATCAGAATGCGCGTATGATTTCAAGTTCTTCGCCAAAGAATCCGTCAGATATAATTTTTGATTTTACATATGTCTTGCATCTAAAAATATACCCAAGACACAGTTAAATGTGTTCAGTCATACTGTATAATTCCTCACGTCCCGATGTGCTTTAAATTGCATCTGAAATATATAAAGTATATGGGGAAAGATATGTGAACCATTACGCAACGAGTTGACAATTGTTTTAGGTATGCCCGTTTGCGCTAAGACGGAACCCGGTCGCAAAAATGGCCATGAGAGGGACACGAGTCGCTATACGGCTTGTCCCGGAATAACACGAGTTGGTCACGAATGGTGAGCCACATCGGCAAGGTGATGTAGAAAAAGAAGACCAAATTGTTCTGAATTTCTACACTTCCTCCTCAACGGCGGTATAATGTACAGAAACAAAACGTGATCATAAATGAACGATGAATGAAAATAATTAAAATTCTCCAAGTGTTTTGTACTTTCGAGTATGGCGAATTTTAAAATAAAATAAAAGTCTGAGTTAATTGACCAAAATTACCTGATCTATTTGTAATAAACATATTTTTATGAAATAATGTAATCACGAAGAATGCGTGGAGTGTAAAAACAAAAATGAACTGTTTAGTATGGTCAGATGTATAGTGTAAACCATCGCAATTTGAGATATTGATTTGGTGTAAAATCGGGTTTTTCAGACGCATGAACATTCCGTAAGAAATGTCCTTAATGTCTGAAAATTGTGCAACTCTTCGGGGTCACTTTCAACATTTCGCCGCATTTTACAATATGAAGTTTTAATAATTTGTTTTTGAAATAATGGCTTCTTAGTTGACATAAATTTACATTTGTCAAAGTTGAGACAGTGAACAAATATAACACATTACAGTGATAATCATTTAATTTGTTTGAGTGGAAAATCACATTTTATAATAATAATGATTAATTCTCCTGTTTGATTATGCATGCATACTTTGTAGGCTGATTCTCATTGTACAAACAAGACATCACATCAGAACTCACCACGCAGATCTCGCACACCCCACACACGCTACAGATGTTGGAATTCTTCAGAAGCTGGGACTGGTAGAACGTTGTCACCTGATTGGCTGAAAAAAATGAATGTTATTGGTAAATAATTATTTTGCTGTATGTTGTTGGTAAATGCGCCACTAGACTTATTACACAAGCATTCACACAGTAATTCACTTTGGAAAATATATATCTGTGATGCAAACCAACATCGAGTGAGTGAGGTAATGAATGTTGTTTATCGCCGCAGCCAGCTATATCAAGGCGGCATGTAAGAGTCGAATCTGGACCAGGCAAACCAGAGAATGAAAAGATGAGCAACGATTCACGCCATTTGGTTTCAATTCCGCGTCATCATCCAAGCTACAGAGATTGAGGTGATGGTGAAATGGGGTTTAACATAGCGTTCCAGATATTTATGCTGGTTTTATAGCGCTAAGCCCACAGATATACCAAGCGCAGTTTAACATCGCGTTCCAGATATTTATGCTGGTTTTATAGCACTAAGCCCACAGAGATACCAAGCGCAGTTTAACATGGATATTCTACTCAGTCACATTATAATCACATATACTGCTTGTTTCAACCCCTTAATGCCTGAGCTTCCTCATCACCGCTGCCACAGATTCAAATATCACCTGTGATGTCTATTCATCTGATAACAACGTCGGTTTATCACAACAGACCTAGACTGATAAGGAAATCAGGTGACTACCATGCTGTGGGTCCCAAGCATCATCAACGCATGGGGTGGTCGGGCAGTTCTGATGTATTCATGTAAACATATAATTAGTGTTAACACTTACATGGCTCATAGTAGTCGTAGACTCTGACAGGGACGGGCTGTGACTTGGCCACAAGTCCTGTTCTCTGGAGGGTGACGGACAGACACACTGGGGTGGTCCCGATCTGTGACATTGGCAGAGTCGAGTTAGTAACACAAACAGTAGAATCTTGTCATAATGGTTAAATCTGCCCCTCTAAGTTACTTGCACAATATGATCGTAGGGCTGAGATTCTTGTTACTCCTACACTTTACATTAGCTGTGACGCTATGGGTCTGGGAGTATCACAGGCGTGGTCCCGATCTGTGACATTGGCAGAGTCGCGTTAGTAACACAAACAGTAGAATCTTGTCATAATGGTTAAATCTGCCCCTCTAAGTTACTTGCACAATATGATCGTAGGGCTGAGATTCTTGTTACTCCTACACTTTACATTAGCTGTGACGCTATGGGTCTGGGAGTATCACAGGCGTGGTCCCGATCTGTGACATTGGCAGAGTCGCGTTAGTAACACAAACAGTAGAATCTTGTCATAATGGTTAAATCTGCCCCTCTAAGTTACTTGCACAATATGATCGTAGGGCTGAGATTCTTGTTACTCCTACACTTTACATTAGCTGTAACGCTATGGGTCTGGGAGTATCACAGGCGTGGTCCCGATCTGTGACATTGGCAGAGTCGCGTTAGTAACACAAACAGTAGAATCTTGTCATAATGGTTAAATCTGCCCCTCTAAGTTACTTGCACAATATGATCGTAGGGCTGAGATTCTTGTTACTCCTACACTTTACATTAGCTGTGACGCTATGGGTCTGGGAGTATCACAGGCGTGGTCCCGATCTGTGACATTGGCAGAGTCGCGTTAGTAACACAAACAGTAGAATCTTGTCATCATGGTTAAATCTGCCCCTCTAAGTTACTGGCACAATATGATCGTAGGGCTGAGATTCTTGTTACTCCCATCACTTTACATTAGCTGTGGCGCTATGGGTCTGGGAGCATCACAGGCGTGGTCCCGATCTATGACATTGATAAAGTACAAAGTATTGCAGTCTCACAAAGGGTGTTCCACATACAGTAAACTACGGTTATAACGAACACGCTTATAACGAACTGACGGATATTACGAACTAACTTTTTAGTCCCGACTATTTGCTGTAGTTATGCTGTATATATGCTTATAACAAATTACGGTTATAACAAACTAAAATTAGTAGTCCCTTTGAGCTCGTTATAACCGTAGTTTTCTGTACTTAACAGAATCATGTTATGACGTGTAAATTATAGGTTTTTAGCGAAACATTCTTGTAACGTCATCAAACCCCAACATAATGTATAGTGTTGTGTGATGGGATGATCGCAATGGCCGGTAAATGTGAATTCTATGACTATGTTCACTCATTGTTTTTTAACACAATCGCCTTTGACGTCTGTCAACATGGGAAGCGATGTTCAAGCTGTGCTTACTGGGCCCTGTAGAGGTCTTCATGACCCTTGAAGATCCGGGGTAGACTAGGTCTTCAGCAACCCATGCTTATCGTAAGCGGAGACTATGCTTGTCGTAAGAGGCCACAAACGGGATCGGGTGGTTAGGCTCGCTGACTTGGTTGATGCATGTCATCGTATCCTAATTGCGTGGATCGATGCTCATGATTGTCTGGTCCAGACTCGATTATTTACAGACCGCCGTCATATAGCTGGAATATTGCTGAGTGCGGCGTTAAACAACAAATAAAACAAACAAAATCTCATTGTATCTCAATAGCGGGGATCGATGTTCCTATCAATCACTGGATTGCCTGGTCCAGTCAGATAGCTGAAATATTGCTGATTGGGGTGTTAAACAACAGACAAACAGAAATCTTCATCTTGGCGCCCATTGAGTCCACCACGGCGGCAAATGCCTCGTCGTTACAGGTACAAAACCAATTACCCTGCAGGTGTGATGTGCCTTTTTTTGAAAGATAAACGCCAGTGGGTGCCAGGTCGTGGGCTTAAGGGACACAGCGTAGGGAGCAAGTCAAAGCCAAAATCGGCACCTGAAGCCACTGCTATCTGTGACGTGTGCATGTTCACATTGTCCTGAAGCAGTAGCTTCACTCAACTGACGTCGTTCTGTGGCATGGTATTGACCATAATGAGGTATTAAATCATGATTATGCCCTATAACTGATCCAAACGGAAGTCATGAATGTGTCTACTGACGCCACTCGATGGTACTTCTTTAGTGGGGGTGAGATCAATTTTTTCTACTGTTTGCTCTGGACTCCTGGGGATGGTGATGGTGATGGTGATGGTGATGTTGATGGTGATGGTGATCTATCTAGGTCCCATCTTGGCTTAAAATGCGCATAAAAGATCATCAGGATTCTGCTGGTAACCGATGGAAAGGTCCCTGGAGGTCCTGAAGGCGATGTGGTAACTGAGTGAGTTGGGTTAAACTTTATTCTTCACTTTGAACAGTATCATCAGGGCATGTCAGTTTAATGTAAGAGGAAAAGATGAAAAGGATGCGAGTCATAGACATGTACCATGTTGTGAAACCCATGAGAACTGTTGTGGAGTTTACCATACAGGAACCATAATCAGGTCGAATCTAGAATGCGAACCCACGATCAGAAGATCTTCGAACGTCGAGTTAGTGAGTGAGTGAGTTGGGTATTCCAGTTATATCACGGCGTGTCAGCTTAATGTGGGAGGAAAGCCCGAAGTGATGCAGGTCTCAGATGGTTACCATTTCGGTGAAAACCACGAGCACGGGTATGGTGCTGACAAACCTAGAAACATAATCGGGGCGAACCGGGATTCGTACCCACAATCATAGATTTCTGGCATGTCTTAGGGACGTAACTCTGCACAGCGAATTGCGGCGCCTTAGACGACTGGCCCATCCGTGCCCGTATTCGAAGGCGAATAGCAGTGCTTAAGCCGACTGGGCGATCCGTGACCATTACGCATTTTTTTATCTAATATATTGGAAGATGTTTTGTACAATATGCAGAACATGTGGTGCAGTAGAGGAATGGCTCACCTCGTCAAAATACAGAACCACCTTCTTGTTGGGAGTCTCGACTCTCTTGAGGGTCTTCAGTCTGGTGAGTGTTTCAAGATCCGCCTCGAAGCCGGAGGGAACTCCGAGTTCCAGGATGGCCATGCCGCTGGTGCCCGTCGACAACCATCTGAGACAAATGGGATTTTGAATACCAAACAGAATCCTGATTGCAAAATTCCGATGCAAAAAAAATAAGTTAAATGTTTAAGTAGGGAGGCATTCCTCATGATGAAAGCTTCTGTGAATACTATGTGAAGAAAAACAAGAATATGTACACCATGTGAAGATATGTAAACATTATTCTCACTTAAGGAAACAATATTGACTGCGATGCTTTAATGACTTTCCCTCTGTTGAAAACCTGAAAAGCTCATGAAATCTACTGACAGATAAATACAGCGGATTCTTTCAAAATCGAATTTCAATGAAATTCTGCCCCCTCAGTTCCTTAAAAGTTAACATGAATACCCCACTCAGACACAGCATACTGACTCCGAGCCGACCAGTCCTTGTTTTAGTCCCTTAATGCCGAGCGCCTGACAGGGTAACAACAACTTCCATCTTTTAACGTCTTTGGGTATGACGCGGCCGGGGATCGAACCCCGGACCTTCCGCTCTCCGGGCGGACGCTCTACCATTAGACCACGGAGGCGGTTCTATACCCTGGAAACCGCAACAGCCTCACAACAACAAAATCATTTAGCAAGTTTCGTCATGACGCAGGTTTTCTGAGCGTTTGACGCGATTTGGTTACAAAATACACCAAAGAAATATCAGGTACGTTTATCCTGATGCAACATGATCGACCCTAATTTCACTAAAGTATAGTTGTTGTTTTTCTCTATCTGTAGTAGTCTGTTGATAGTCCGACAACTTCGCTTCATAACTGTCCAAGAAGTGGTCGCGTCATTCCATTTACAAGAAATGTATACCATATTTGGAAGTGACATTACGTATTACTATAATTTATGAATAAAATGTGCCTCGTTGTCGCTATTGACCTTTCTGGCCTCGACGTGTATTAACCTCAGTGGTTGACTTGTACTGCTGTATGCAAACAATGCTGCTGATCCGTGACGCTACCAAACCATTAGCTTTTACTTAAAATATTCACATTATACATTCTAGCGAAATTTGAACATTTTCGGTGTTGATATTTCAAATACTCAATGTCAGCCAAAATGGCAAATTAACGTCCTATTCCAACCAAGGAGTTTCTACCATTGAAGGAACAAAGTGTAACTCCAGTGGCACCAGTGCTCGCTCGTCTGAGGATCATCTAGACAGTAATGACAAAACTTGAGCCAACATTCCGTACCTTGTATCCCGTGAAGATTCCGGGGTAGAATAGGTCTTCAGCAACACATGCTTGCCGTAAAAGGTGACTATGCTTGTCGTAAGAGGCGACTAACGGGATCGGGTGGTCAGGCTCGCTGACTTGGCTGATGCATGTCATCGATCCCAATTGCGTGGGTCGATGCTCATGATATTAATCACTGGATTGTCTGGTCCAGACTCGATTATGTACAGACCGCCGTCACATAACTGGAATATTGCTGAGTGCGGCGTTAAACAACAAACCAAACCAAACCAAAACCGTACCTTGTTGCTAAGACATATACATGTGGTACCGATTTGACAGTTCGAAATGTGCCATGACTTTTGCATGAGAGCACAAAAGCGGTCCTTCCTGGTTATTTAGTTTATTAGTTCGACGTTTTATTTAAACTCTCATGGGAATACCTGTCGTGCATGACTTGGTCCCCGTTTGCGAACACCTTATCACGCATGCGACAAAGATAAGTACCCGCAAAAACGGCACCCATTGTTTAACATTAATCCATGTATGTCACGTCGTATCAGCTTGATGTGGGAGGAAAACACAAAGCAGGCCTTAGCCATTTTCAACATTGGTTCCACCCACGTGCACGGGTATGCTGCTTTCAAACCACGAAAGACAAACAGGGCGAACCATGATTTGATATATCAATAACTTATCCATGTTCCATGTCGTCATTCACGTGTATTATGGTTTGACGGTATGAAGTGTGATGGCTGCCCCCACCCTCACCTGGTGCAGGTCTGGACGGTGATGGCGTTGATGTCCTCCTTCAGCAGCGAGACGGTAACATCAAATGTTGGCTCCTCCACCTCATCCTCAACGTTGAAGAACACGGCGACCTGAACGGCATATAAGGGTTACTAGGTGTATCATAACTCATATTAAAGAAAACATAGCTTGCAACAATAACATGGTCCTGTTTAATTCATTGTTATGTTTTAGCATAATTTCCAGCAATATCATGGCGGGGAATTCGGCTGTACACATAGTGGGGAATCGAACCTGGGCCCTCGGCGTGTCGAGCGAACACTTTAACCAGCAAGCTACTCTACCTCCCTCATTGTTTTTGTCTAAACTGAACACATAACACAGAAAACTAAAAGTTGCTTAGTTGATTTTTCAAGACCTTGATGAAAAACGAAGAATAAGGCAGTTTTGATGGAGCAAATCGTTGTACTACTCATGATTACAAATGCTGCTTACAAACTGCTTACAAACTGCTTACAAACTGCGACTATGTTCTGGTAACATCCCAGCTACCCTGATGTTTACTCAGTATTAATACTTACCAGGGAGAGGGCACGGGTGGCCCAGTCGTCTAAGGCGCCGCGATTCCCTGTGCAGAGTTGCTTCCCTTGGGCACGCCAGAAACCTATGATTGTGGGTTCGAATCCCGGTTCGCCCCGATTATGTTTCTAGGTTTGTCAGCACCATACCCGTGCTCGTGGGTTTCACCGAAGTGGTTAACGTCTAAGACCTGCCTTACTTCGGGCTTTCCTCCCACATTAAGCTGACACGCCGTGATATAACTGGAATACTGTTAAAAGCGGCGTTAACCCCAACTCACTCACTCACTAACTTACCAGGGAACCATATCATTACATGGTGACTACATCGGGATACCGGGTCATAAACCTATGCTTGTCTTAAGAAGAGACTTAATGGGTAGGCTCGAAGGTAGCATGTCATCGTCCCTAAGGCGTGGATCGCTGCTCGCAGTATTAATCACTGGTTTGTCTCGTCCAGACTCGACTAGTTACATGCCGCCGTCTTATTGCTGGAGTATTGATGCGTTCAGCGTTAAACAACAAACAAACAAAATAAACTTTGCATGTTAACGTTTTAATCAACAATACACATACCTCAACGAGAGCGATGCCATTTCCTGTGGCCTCAACATTGACACCTTCGGGAATGGATGGTAGCTGGAAAAAATATAAAAACGGAAATATGTGAAGAACTTAAAATACTGAAAACTGTCTGAAAGAAAAATGCAAAAGGTTTATATGTATGCATACTTGGGCCCTCTTACACAAAGCGATCACAGCGCTACGACTATAGTGGCGCTAAGATCGCTTTGGGGAACGGGAAGCTGGGCAATAGCAACAAGATGGGAGTGATGCGTGCATAACTGGAGAAAATATGAAACCGGAAATATGTGAAGAACTGAAAACTGTCTGAAAGGAAATTGCAAAATGTTTGTGTGTATGATATATACCTGGCCCCGTTCCACAAAGCGACCATCGTAAGTCTATGTTTAAGTATGGGAGTTACGATCATCGATCGTAACGCTAAGACCGCTTTGTGGTCCTGGCGCTGGACAATGGCGGCAAGATGGGAGTGACTGTGTTAGGTGTGTAAGAATGTATGTATATAGTCTTTATTCATTAGGTATTGTAGGCCACAGGCCCATTATACATTACAGAGTTTACAGTGAGAGAGAAACATTATAACACAAAAATAAATTTTAGGTGATTTACACAAGACGTGTTTCATTGCTTTGTAAATGAATACGGATAGATTTTGAATGAGTAATACATTATTTGATGCCATTAAAATATTAAACGTATGTATGGAGGGGTACAGGTAAAACGTGTTGGGTACATATTTTCGTCTTAAATGTATATATCGATCACATATTTTAATAAAATGAAATTCATCTTCAATTTGATTGTGATTGCAAGTCAGACACAACCTTTCAGATTTTAACTCTTTTTTTTATACCTCCCAGTCTTAATTCGGACTTGGTGGGAACAGCATCTAAATTGCGCAAGGGCATGTCTATATTTAACAAGTGATAATTCTTTTAAATATGTTTCTAAGTCGAAATTTGTTTTGAATCAACTGTAAAGATTTGATTTTGAGCTTGATGAAATAGCTGCGTGCCAATTTTGTTCATAAGATAATTTTAGACGGAGTATTAATAACGACAGAAAGCTTGAGATATTACTTATAAATTGTTGTTCCCATATGTAACTTAAACCAGTAGAGAATAGGATGTGTTTTACTTTTGATGCCTTGTTAGTTTTACCATTACTACAGTCTGACAATAATAAGTTATAACATTTCTTTACCAAACGTGATTCAGGCATATTAATTATTTTCCACCAATACTTAACAACACGTTTAAATGCAGATATGTACATTGGGTATCTTCCGCATTCTCCTCTAGCAACATGGTTTGCGGTTGACTGTTTAACACATAAATATCTCTTACGGGCAAACATTTGTACAACTTCTATTTCTGCGTAATTATGAACACCCCAAACTTCAGAGCCATACAATAGAATTGGGCTGATTTGGGAATCAAAGATTTTAAAAAATAGATCATGAGGTAATGGATTTAACATATATAATGATTTAAGAATTCCACACAGAACCTGTTTCTGCTTGAGTTGATGCACTATTAACATGAGCAGACCACGGTAGTTATCTAGAGAATAATAATCCCAAGTGTTTGTAGCTTGAAACACATTCAAGCTGGTGCTCGTTAAAATACAACTTTTCGACTCTTGATAAATTTCCACCATTTTTAAAAACAATGATTTTAGTTTTAGCTAAGTTTACAGACAAGTGGTATTTATCGCAAAAACAACATAAAACATTAATTCGTTTTTGTAGCCCATAGACAGTATCTGAAAATAGGACGATATCATCTGCAAATGTATGTACCGTAGCAGTGAATAAGCCAGGAATTGTTCCCATTTCGAAATATTTATATATATATACAATGAACACGTTAAGCATCACAACATCTATATCTTTATGTATCTCGAACGTCGGTGTATCTCTTGTCGGAAATATCTACATATGGCTTTTATCGCATTTTGATAAATGTCTATGATAGCTGGCGGAACGATGGTACATGAATATGTTTCTCAGTGTGACCGCAACCACTAACACGTAATATCACGCACAAAAGGCTGGGAAGCAATTGAAAGGTAAGTCAAATAACGTTTGCCATGGAAGCGTTATAAAATATCTTTAGATAACCTGATATGCCATTTTTTCAATAAATGGTGAGCGGCGTTCTTCTAGGTTCATACACAAACCTGAAGAACTGTGTATGTCATACGTGGATAAATGATGAAGATGCAGAGGATGTGTGTGCGAGGTGATATGTATTGCAGTGCGTGTACGGTACATGTTTAACTGTCGCTGAATGTACGGATGCGCATATAACTGTCTCTGCACGTACGGTGCGCGTAACTCCCGCTGCATGTACGGGTGCTTGTTTATGTCCGCTTCGTGTACGACACGTGTTAAATCGCCGCTGTGTGCACGGATGCGCATATAACTGACGCTGCATCTACGGTACATGTTTAACCGTCGCTGTATGTAAGGTGCGTGTTTACTTCCCCTGCGTGTACGGTGCGTGTTGACCACCCCTGCGTGTACGGTGCGCGTTTACTTCCTCTGCGTGTACGGTGCGTGTTTACTTCCCCTGCGTGTACGGTGCGCGTTTAACTTCGCTGCGTGTACGGTGCATGTTAACTGCCGCTGTATGTACGTTGCGTATTTAACTCCGCTGCGTGCAGGGGGCGTGTTTAATTCCCCTGCGTGTACGGTGCGTGTTGACCACCCCTGCGTGTACGGTGCGCGTTTACTTCCTCTGCGTGTACGGTGCGTGTTTACTTCCCCTGCGTGTACGTTGCGCATTTAACTCCGCTGCGTGTATGGGTGCGTATTGGAACGCCGGTACTCACATCGACACTCTGGAGCACGAGCGCGTTGTTCTGGTTGACGGAGAATTGGTGTCTGAAGCTGCCACTGCTCACTGTCACCTGGATGTCGAAGTTGTTGGAGTACGCCATCTTGGCGAACTCAGACAGAGCCTGCAAGGCCATAACCGTATCCTGGAAAAATATCAATGTTCCACAGTTGTAAAACAGTTTGTTGTGGATGCAGACCAATTCCCAAATGTGATGAACATACTCTATTAAATGTATTAAAACGTTCATGTAAATGTATTTTTAAAAAACTAATCTCTCCACAGATAATCACCATATGGCCAAGTAGCGACATTGATAAATATAAAACGTTTTCTCCCTAGAATGTGCTTCATGAACCGAGCACAAATAGAAAAACAAAGGTTGGTCCTGAAGAAGCAACCCAGTTACGTATCAACCCAGTTACGTATCTTACGTAGTTACGTAGTTACGTGATTTATGTGAATGAGTCTTGTTATGTGGCAGCAGCTTTTAGTGGATAGTCGTAATGTTGATTGTAAGTGGCACAGATTGAATGAAGCGAAGCGCTCATACAATATCTCGTCGCCCACCTGCTTGGAAGTGTTAATTAGAGTTACCTCCCTTGGTGTGTATCGATGAACACCGGACATCATTGCTCATTCGCGAAGTTTCGAGATGTGATAGTTTCAAGAAGGCTGGCATTACATATAAAAGAGCGAGACCAGGGCGATTCGGGGCCTATGTACGTGTCCAGTGCGGACAGGGTAGCTATCTGAAAACACTGACTTTCTGCCAGCCAGGGGGCGGTCGGGTAGCCTAGTGGTTAAAGCGTTCGCTCGTCACGCCGAAGACCCGGGTTCGATTCCCGACATGGGTACAATGTGTGAAGCCTATTTCTGGTGTCCCCCGCCGTGATATTGCTGGAATATTGCTAAAAGCGGCGTAAAACCATACTCACTCACTCACTCACTCTGCCAGCCAGACTATACCTGAGTGGACGCGAATCCACCGTGAGGGTTACGCTGAGATGCCAACCACTTCATGATGCTCAGACCGCCATTGAAGTCATCCTTTTCCACGAATGTTAGCAGAGCGTATGACGTCATCTCGATGTCGATGGCATTTTTGGGCGATGGTGGTCTCCAATAACGGTGGGACTCAGTAGACGTTTTTTCGGGACGGTGCCAATATTTGAGACCATCTACAAGAATTCGTAAGTGATCTTTCAGTAATATCACAAAATACCAGCCTAATGTGGAGGCAAGCACAAAGTATAGCAGGTCGAGATTTTACAACCTTGTATACACCCACAAGGTGTTACTGTCATTCCATGTGACGTATAACTGCTTAAAACATTGCTGTGGTTATATCGTGGGGTGATAGTGCGTCAGTGTGGCAGAAAATACCAAATACAGTACACTACGGTTATAACGAACTCAAAGGGACCACTTATTTTAGTTCGTTATAACCGTAGTTCGTTATGAACATATAAACAGCATATATACAACAAATGGCCGGGACTAAAAAATGAGTTCGTTATATCAGTCAGTTCGTTATAAGCGTGTTCGTTATAACCGTAGTTTACAGTAGAAGTTTACACAGTATCATTATCTTGACACATCTGGGATTCGAAACAACCAGGAGCGGATACAGGTATCCAAGGGAAGCAACCCTGCATAGCGAAATGTTGCCTGGAAATTTAAGGGAAGCAGTGAACGTTATTAAAATGTTGCAAAAAATGGTGACCTTTACCCTTAACAATAGCATGAGAGTTCAATGTATCAAACAAAGAGTCGGCCTTGTTGCTGCCGGCCAGTTGCAGGGCATAGGTCATGATGGCCAGAGCGTAGTCATCTGCTGGAGTCTCATTCTCCAGGAAACGAACTGCCTTCGTGGTTGCCTTACGAATCCGCTGCTGGACAGCCTGTTTTATAAAGAAAATCCATAAAAAGTGCATGTGTAAGACAAGATGTTTGTTTACAGTACAGTTTATTCGTAATGGGTAGATATATTGAGGATCGTCACAGTATGATAGAACTGGTTCCCAATAACATATGCTTGTCAATGGAGTAGACTGAAATAGATCGGTCTCCAATGGTGCATTGGTGCCCCAAAGGCCTAGATCGTTGATTCTGTCTTCAGTGTCTGGTTTGCCTAATCCAGGTTATTTACAGGCCTTCAAGATAAAAGTTGATTACTGCTGACCTCAGCGTTAAACAAAATTCATTCATTCATTCATTCATTCATTCATTCATCCATCCATTCATCCATTCATTCATCCATTCATTCATCCATCAATTCATCCATTCATTCATCCATCCATTTATCCATCCATTCATCCATCAATTCATCCATTCATTCATCCATCCATTCATCCATCATTCATCTATCCATTCATCCATCCATTCATCCATTCATTCATCCATTAAGTCATCCATTCATCCATCCATTCATCCATCAATTCATCCATTCATTCATCCATCCATTCATCTATCCATTCATCCATTCATTCATCCATTCATTCAACCATGAAGTCATCCATTCATTCATCCATTCAATCATTTAATCATTCATTCATTCAAGCAAACACAAAAGTATGATTGTATTATATTCACAAATGTCTTGAAATGACATACCCTAGGAAGGTCGTTGTTCTCCAGCAAGGCGATGAGGACGTAGGCCGTCAGTGATACGCCTTTCCCCGCTCCTCCCTGGATAAGATGATGAGATAATTCAACTGGTGTTGTGCTAGGTTGTTAATCACTGCAATGTATACTCTCCAAAAAAGTAGGGGATCGTGAAATATAAATGTTCGGTAATCATCGGTCGTGAGAAGAAAGATTAGGTTAGAAAGACTGACGAGATTGAACGATTTTGGAACCAAAACAAAACACACCCGAATCACGGCATCTGGACCATATACTTCCTCCGTGTACGTAGGTAGGGGGCATTCTTGGTTTTAACACTTCAGGGGAAGGTCGTCAAATCGCGCTGAGCCATTGTTCTTATGTTGATTTTCATTATCCACTGTAACAGGTACGCTCTCTACTCTTACTTTAATGCTGTATTAGCGATCAGACTTGGAATGCGTTATCTCCAACGTGATAAACGCCTAAGGGCTTATGACTTGCTTCAACCTGATAGAACTCGGCGAGAGGTAGCCAGTATGTATGTGCAATGTGTCCAATGATTAATCAGAAACAAGGCGTTAAGAAATCGAGAACAAACAGCCAATCAAGTCACTGTTCACTTGCGCCAGCTCGGCGACCACGTGTTGAACCACCGTTAACACGTCGACACAATCTAGCCAGACGACAAGGGTGTTAAAAGCATAGAAACTGGGGAAATCTCCGAATAATGTTTAATGTTTTCAGATGAGTTCAGATTCACTCTGAACTTTCGGGATAGACGTAGACGTAAGATAACATTACAGATGTGGGCTGGGCCTGTCATAATACGAGGCGATCCCCATGACTGCCAGAACGTCATTGCATATTGTCTATGGAGGGATCGCTGGACAGTACGGGCGAGACAAAATGCGGGTGCCAACAGTCCGCCAAATACTGGTCCACGTTTTGTCTTTTAACACGATAACGCTCATGCCCAACTGACTCCCCCAAGCAGCAAAACACCAGCAACACAACGGCCAGCCATCAGTCTTGACCTTCCCTCAACAGAACACGTCTGGGATATTATCGGGAGACGTGTGCGCCGGCGTCAAAGACACCCGCTACGTTAGCCGAATTGGGCCAGGTACTGAGTGGACAAGACTCCCTCAAATTGTCATTGGGAGAATGATTTGAACCATGCCACGCAGTGTGTTTGACTTGTCAACTCTATTCAACGCGTGGCGTAGTTGTGAGAAAGTTGACCCAGCATTCCCTATTCGTTTAGCTGTTATGAAGTCAGTCGACTATATTGATCATTGGTCGCCATGAATTTTGAGCATGGTCAATTAGTTTTAATGAATTGTATATTGCGATCACGTACGGTAATCGTTAAGTTTAGCAATGTATGTACTAGATGATAAAATGAAGTATGTTACTGAAGGCAACAATGAAGCAAAGTCTGTCACCAGGCAAATGAGAGAGGAGTGATATCCCTTATCTTAATATACACGTTACATGAGCCTAACATCAGTGGTCATTTGTTGATCCGGAAAAGAATTCACAACGCTTTAACACATAAATATGGAATAAATCAGATCTGTTTTGGTGGTGTAGTTTCGATTCAGCTCACACACTCCAAAATCTTATTTAAGTTGTATAAGGGGTTTAAAGAATGACACTCTCTCTGCACTCACAGTGAGCGCTTTGTGGATGACTGTTCCAGGTTCAGGGAAGGAGCCATCTGCCTTCTGTCTCGCAATCATCCAGTCGATGGCTCTGGTCAGTACTTCATCGTCGATGAAGGTGTAGGGCTTAGCTTGGTGGAACGTCTTTACGACAAACGCTGTCAGCCTGGAGGTAGAGTCATGGGTTTAGTTGCAAATTGGCTTAAAAGCATCACTTACCCATTACTGATCCCCCAAAGAGTTCATTGCTCACGTTCTTGTCTTGTTCTTCAACTACGCCATTTGCCATTCACCATTGACAATGTTCTCACCAAATCAACTTGCGGAACTTACCACATGCTGCCAGATGGATCACGTTCACCAAAAGCACTGAAGGAGCCATCCTTGTGCTGGTAGGTCAGCTCTCTCTGGTATCCTGGAGGAGATTGGTAGACTGAGTTTGAAATGGGCTTGCCAGTCGTTGTGGGTCTATTTTCGGCAGCTCAACCCAATGTTAATGCATATGTTGCATGCGGGAATATAGCAACTCAAGTGCATTATGGTTGGCGGTAGCAGGGTGATTTACGATAAAGGAGGCAACAAAGGATAAACAGTATTGTGACGCTTCACTCAGTTATCAAAAGGTTTACGAACTTTGTTTCAGGTGTACGGCAGGGCAAACATTAATCCTTGGACACTCATTTCTGTATGGGACTTTGAGTTTGTAATATTCTATCACTAAGATAAGGGGTGATAGGTAAGGCAGTCAAGTGTTTGACACCAACCCTGTATCTCACCCAACAATGCCTATACTCTCAGTTCGAGAGGTACCACGACATACCAGATTCCATGTACTTGACTGCCTTGTCTTTTATGTCTCCTGTCAGCTGATTGGTTGCTGTCAGATAGTTGGTGACGAAGACATCCGGGGCCAACCCCAGCATAGTCTGCTCGCCACATCCGGTAGGCATGCGCAGAAGACTGTCTAGACCATTCACTGTTGGCCCCATGAGGTCGCCTAGGTGACAATATGATATTGTTTTAAGCACAATAGTAAACGTCATTACTGTGTGGGGTACTATTTGTTAAATTGATTTTCAATGTCTTCTCTCTTTTTTTCTTTAAGAAAACATTATTTGTTTTTGAACGAAAGTAGTTTTTCTCTTGACTTTATCATAAGCATGTGCTTATGGATCACTATCAAATAGTGATTATACCAAGTGTTCTCGAAAAGGTGGGGGTATCCTGCCCAGCCAGTCATAGTCTATCATGGCCGTAACAAACACATGCACCGACAATGACGTGTCAAATTTGGAAATGTCCGCCACATGTCTGCCATAAAACTTTTTGAACGCTTTATGGAGGCCTTGAATGCCCTGATCAGCGGCATTACCCCCTTTGAGTGAGTGAGTGAGTGAGTATGGGTTTACGCCGCTTTTAGCCAGCAATATCACTGCGGGGGACACGAGAAATGGGCTTCACACATTGTACCCATGTCGGGAATCGAACCCTCGGTCTTCGGCGTGATGAGCGAACGCTTTAACCACTAGGCTACCAGGCCCCCTTTGAAATGTTCGTGGAAGGTTCTTGGTGGATTGCTCCTCAAAAGTTGTGAAATGTTGACACGAAAGGCTAGAGCTGCGGGAATAATGTTCGACATAAAGGAAACGTTGACTATTCGAAAGTTGAAGACATCTCCATTGTCATAAAGTCTTGCAGATATTATTGTCACTCTGATTTTGTTTGCACAGATATCAATATGAAGCAGATGAGGCGGTCTCACGGAACCTTTTATTTCCAGCTGAGGTGGGTAAATCAGTGGAAGGAAATTGGCTATGTGACCATTATTGAATGAAATCAGATATTTGAAAAACCTTAAGCTTAAGAATCACAAAAACCAGCTTGAGATTTATATTTGTATTAAACATGGTGGGACTAGAACGCATGATGATAATTATCATGCACACCGAAAGGACTTAAAATGAATAGGAGATGGCGGCCCGTCTTAAGCATCGTTGCAACTAACCCACTGCGGTGATCCTAGCACTCTGTGATCCTGGTACGACGTTTTGAGGCAGCGTGATGGGGACAGACTTGGAGAAACTGGTGGCCTCCTTCAGGTCAATCAGGACAGGGACATTGTACTCTTTCGGGGTTCCCTCTGGCTGAAGAGAGATTATGAATACATGCTGGAACATTGTACTCTTTCGCGGTTTCTTCAGGCGGAAGAGAAATTATGAATACATGCTGGAACATTGTACTCTTTCGCGGTTTCTTCAGGCGGAAGAGAAATTATGAATACATGCTGGAACATTGTACTCTTTCGCGGTTTCTTCAGGCGGAAGAGAAATTATGAATACATGCTGGAACATTGTACTTTTTTGCGGTGTTTCAGACGGAAGAGAAATTATGAATACATGCTGGAACATTGTACTCTTTCGCGGTTTCTTCAGGCGGAAGAGAAATTATGAATACATGCTGGAACATTGTACTTTTTTGCGGTTTCTTCAGACGGAAGAGAAATTATGAATACATGCTGGAACATTGTACTCTTTCGCGGTTTCTTCAGGCGGAAGTCATTATATATGCATGTTGGAACATTGTATTGTTTTTGTGTTCCTGCAGGCTGGAGAGTGATTGTGAATATGTGTTGGAACATTGTATTATTTAGGATCTCCTTCAGGCTGAAGAGAGATGATTATTATTGTAAACATACATGCTCGTTTCACCCAAACGTGACCGGTTTGTGCAGGGTGTCACCGGTAGAGTAGGATACACTCACCTTTTCAAAAACACCCGGTGTCAGCACTGTTTGATAGTGATTCATGAAGGAATGCTTAGGAAATAGTCGGAATCTTACAACTGACTTTGCTTTTAGATGACAGTTAATATGATTATAGAAATGCTGCTGTCGCTTTTAATAATTATTATGCACCTGGACTGTTTCGAGCTGGTGTCAGGTGCAAAGGACTTCACCTGTGAGAACATACCTAACCGTAGCACGAACACCTGATGCCATCATTGTTAGTTGATTCGTGAATTTACAACAGATTAAATTTTGTTTATGCGATAGTAATGAAGATGAATATATCAACATTGTATATTTTCTTAACAAATATTAATATTACTTAAATACCGTACAGTGTCCATCAAGTAACTTTTGAAATCAGATACTGTCAACAGTAAACAACTGACCAAAAAGAGTGTGAGTGAATGAGTTGTGTTTAACGCTGCTTATAGCAGTATTCCAGTCAGGCGTGTCAGCTCAATGTGGGAGGAAAGCCCCAAGTGATGCAGGTCTTAGACGTTTACCACTTCGGTGAAACCCCACAACGAGCACGGGTATGGTGTTGACAAACCTAGAATCATAATCGGGGCGAACTGTGATTCGAACCCACAATCATAGATTTCTGGCGTGCCCAAGGGACGTAACTCTGCACAGCGAATTGCGGCGCCTTAGATGACTGGGCCCCCCGTGCCCCCGTGACGAATAAGAAGTAAGCTATTCAGGGGATAGTTGTGGGCGCCTGGTATGCAATGGAACTGTACCGTCCTATATGTAGGTGACATTAGCCCATTAATATCATATTGCATTCTTACCACGAGGCAAGTTTTTTTTTTGAATCAAGCAAGCACAAGACAGAGACAACCATTGGCCTTACCTCGACCAGGAGCTGTCTCTTGACGGCGTCAGCAGCGAGGGAGGATCGGGCGGAGACGGTCAGGTCGATCTTACCCAGGGTGGCGGGGACGATGGGGAAGTAGACCGAGGTGGCGCCACCTGCTTTCACCTGGGTTAGTAAAGTTATGACTGAAATATTGCTTTTCTTGAACGTCATCAGAAGGCATCGTCATTGATCATATGAATAAACTCGACGGGAGTCAGTGCACTGGAAATTGTTAAATCTTTTTTTTACGATATTGTAACATTAAAATAGTATACCAATCAGCATGGTTTGCAACAAACTGTACTTGTCACATGCAACCTGTATGTGTCACTCAGTAAACAGATATATCACACCACCAGTCTCACTCTCACTACTTTGATCGAAACTGCTTACGTGAATTCTCTGACTCTGATCTTCCGATTCTGTTCGTTCACGACCGTTGCCACTGACAACGACATTCCTGTATTCACCAGATTTAGGCAGGGTCACAACAGCCTAAAACAGACTTAGCGTATATTGAATTTGAAGACGGCACCTCAGTGGATTCATAGAAGCATTAGAGTTTAATTAAAATACTGGCCTCGTATGGATTTTCGTCTTCATCGAAAAGAGATATCATATACATGAAGTAATCGAAGCGGATTTGCTCTTTGGGACAGAACTGGTCATGTGAAGCAATCGAGGAGGTTGAAGGTAAAGCATTAGCTCTTAACGCCGAAGGCCTTGTTTCGATCCCCACTTGGATCCCCATATGTGTAGCTCTCACAAGAGAGAACTGTATCGTCCTGATGAGCGACAGGGATATCATTACAAACATCAGCGGCTTTGAGCAAGTATTCGTATCCATTTACATTAATCGAGAGCCCTAACACTGGAAGCAGCAACTAAACATATCCTATCACCTACTCATGTCGACGTTCTGGGTGAGATAGTTGACGAGGATGACCTGGAGAGCCCTAACACTGGAAGCAGCAACTAAACATGTCCTCTCTATTACTCACGATGACGTCCTGGGTGAGTTAGTTGAAGACGATGGCCTGGAGAGCCCTAACACTGGAAGCAGCAACTAAACATTTCCTATCACCTACTCACGTCGACGTCCTGGGTGAGATAGTTGAAGACGATGGCCTGGAGGGCCCTAACACTGGACGCAGCAACTAAAACTAAACATGTCCTCTCTATTACTCACGTCGACGTCCTGGGTGAGGTAGTTGAAGACGATGGCCTGGAGAGCCAGTTGTTCTCCTCGCGTCACGGAGTAGGGCAGGTTGAGGCTCACGAAGAAGGGGCGGAACACTCGGATCTGAACACGGGACATGTGTTAGCATGTGAACATGTCATAAAGTTAATACATTCGATAAAGGCCAGAACACTAGCGTCACTAGAAAACATCATCACGTCTTTGGTGCGTGAGTGAACAAGAAATTCCAGATAAACCGTATTCCTATCTAAAAACACAATTCCAAACCCAAGAAATAGTCTTTATTATATCATATCATATAATATGTGTATATACCGCACCTATCCAGATATTTGTATCTGCCGAAATGCGTTATTTTAACGCAGCCTTCACGTATTTCAGTTAATCACAGAGTGCGAGCTTGATGGGGAAAGAAAGTCAACGAGCACAAGTATTGCTCAGACACATACGGTAGATTAGAACAGTGCTTCTTAGTTCGTGAAAAAACATTTTGACACCATCCTTTCTCATTCTAATCAGTCAAATAGCCATGATACATATTAACTCTTGTGTAATATTGTATCATTACTCGTAATGGGATCAAGCTGTTGAATTAACCAGTCGTCTTCTAAAACCCCGGACAAGAAGGCCATTGGAAAAAAACATATCTAGATCGTTGAAGTTCAATACAGACCGTCAGCCCATTATTGCTTGAAACGTTCATAAATTACCTGAATTTGTGAGATGTTAAATAAGTTTTCACATCCTGGTGACAAGTGCATAAGCATCGGCTTACAAGTTTTTCTTTATAGCGTTCAGAACTTGGTCACACACGTAAGTCTTTCATGAAGCTTTTCGCACTGTTACTTACCTTAATCTTACCTGGTGGGCAGCTTGACAATGTAATATTTATTGTCGCACGTGGCCTTTTCACGAATGTGACTATTTCATGATCACAGTAATGATAAATATGTTACACGTGTGCAATCCCGCACACCAGCCAGTGACACATGGTAACTCATTGTCCAGGATTATGTTACTGCTAGGTATGTTACAAGTGTACAATCCCGCACACCAGCCAGTGACACATGGTAACTCATTGTCCAGGATTACATTACTGCTAGGTATGTTACAAGTGTACAATCCCGCACACCAGCCAGTGACACGTGGTAACTCATTGTCCAGGATTATGTTACTGCTAGGTATGTTACAAGTGTACAATCCCGCACACCAGCCAGTGACACATGGTAACTCATTGTCCAGGATTACATTACTGCTAGGTATGTTACAAGTGTACAATCCCACACACCAGCCAGTGGCACATGGTAACTCATTGTCCAGGATTATGTTACTGCTTGGTATGTTACAAGTGTACAATCCCGCACACCAGCCAGTGACACATGGTAACTCATTGTCCAGGATTATGTTACTGCTAGGTATGTTACAAGTGTACAATCCCGCACACCAGCCAGTGACACATGGTAACTCATTGTCCAGGATTACATTACTGCTAGGTATGTTACAAGTGTACAATCTCGCACACCAGCCAGTGCCACATGGTTACTCATTGTCCAGGATTACGTTACTGCTAGGTATGTTACAAGTGTACAATCTCGCACACCAGCCAGTGACACATGGTAACTCATTGTCCAGGATTATGTTACTACTTGGTATGTTACAAGTGTACAATCCCGCACACCAGCCAGTGACACATGGTAACTCATTGTCCAGGATTATGTTACTACTTGGTATGTTACAAGTGTACAATCCCGCACACCAGCCAGTGACACATGGTAACTCATTGTCCAGGATTACATTACTGCTAGGTATGTTACAAGTGTACAATCCCGCACACCAGCCGGTGACACATGGTAACTCAATGTCCAGGATTACATGGCTGCTAGGTATGTTACAAGTGTACAATCCCGCACACCAGCCAGTGACACATGGTAACTCATTGTTCAGGATTACATTACTGCTAGGTATGTTACAAGTGTACAATCCCGCACACCAGCCAGTGACACATGGTAACTCATTGTCCAGGATTATGTTACTGCTAGGTATGTTACAAGTGTACAATCCCGCACACCAGCCAGTGACACATGGTAACTCATTGTCCAGGATTACATTACTGCTAGGTATGTTACAAGTGTACAATCCCGCACACCAGCCGGTGACACATGGTAACTCAATGTCCAGGATTACATGGCTGCTAGGTATGTTACAAGTGTACAATCCCGCACACCAGCCAGTGACACATGGTAACTCATTGTTCAGGATTACATTACTGCTAGGTATGTTACAAGTGTACAATCCCGCACACCAGCCAGTGACACATGGTAACTCATTGTCCAGGATTATGTTACTGCTAGGTATGTTACAAGTGTACAATCCCACACACCAGCCGGTGACACATGGTAACTCATTGTCCAGGATTATGTTACTGCTAGGTATGTTACAAGTGTACAATCCCGCACACCAGCCAGTGACACATGGTAACTCATTGTCCAGGATTACGTTACTGCTAGGTATGTTACAAGTGTACAATCCCGCACACCAGCCAGTGACACATGGTAACTCATTGTCCAGGATTACGTTACTGCTAGGTATGTTACAAGTGTACAATCCCGCACACCAGCCAGTGACACATGGTAACTCATTGTCCAGGATTACGTTACTGCTAGGTATGTTACAAGTGTACAATCCCGCACACCAGCCAGTGGCACATGGTAACTCATTGTCCAGGATTATGTTACTGCTAGGTATGTTACAAGTGTACAATACCGCACACCAGCCAGTGGCACATGGTAACTCATTGTCCAGGATTATGTTACTGCTAGGTATGTTACAAGTGTACAATCCCGCACACCAGCCAATGGCACATGGCAACTCATTGTCCAGGATTATGTTACTGCTAGGTATGTTACAAGTGTACAATACCGCACACCAGCCAGTGACACATGGTAACTCATTGTCCAGGATTACATTACTGCTAGGTATGTTACAAGTGTACAATCCCGCACACCAGCCAGTGACACATGGTAACTCATTGTCCAGGATTATGTTACTGCTAGGTATGTTACAAGTGTACAATCCCACACACCAGCCGGTGACACATGGTAACTCATTGTCCAGGATTATGTTACTGCTAGGTATGTTACAAGTGTACAATCCCGCACACCAGCCAGTGACACATGGTAACTCATTGTCCAGGATTACGTTACTGCTAGGTATGTTACAAGTGTACAATCCCGCACACCAGCCAGTGACACATGGTAACTCATTGTCCAGGATTACGTTACTGCTAGGTATGTTACAAGTGTACAATCCCGCACACCAGCCAGTGACACATGGTAACTCATTGTCCAGGATTACGTTACTGCTAGGTATGTTACAAGTGTACAATCCCGCACACCAGCCAGTGACACATGGTAACTCATTGTCCAGGATTATGTTACTGCTAGGTATGTTACAAGTGTACAATCCCGCACACCAGCCAGTGGCACATGGTAACTCATTGTCCAGGATTATGTTACTGCTAGGTATGTTACAAGTGTACAATACCGCACACCAGCCAGTGGCACATGGTAACTCATTGTCCAGGATTATGTTACTGCTAGGTATGTTACAAGTGTACAATCCCGCACACCAGCCAATGGCACATGGCAACTCATTGTCCAGGATTATGTTACTGCTAGGTATGTTACAAGTGTACAATACCGCACACCAGCCAGTGACACATGGTAACTCATTGTCCAGGATTATGTTACTGCTAGGTATGTTACAAGTGTACAATCCCACACACCAGCCGGTGACACATGGAACTCATTGTCCAGGATTATGTTACTGCTAGGTATGTTACAAGTGTACAATCCCGCACACCAGCCAGTGACACATGGTAACTCATTGTCCAGGATTACGTTACTGCTAGGTATGTTACAAGTGTACAATCCCGCACACCAGCCAGTGACACATGGTAACTCATTGTCCAGGATTACGTTACTGCTAGGTATGTTACAAGTGTACAATCCCGCACACCAGCCAGTGACACATGGTAACTCATTGTCCAGGATTACGTTACTGCTAGGTATGTTACAAGTGTACAATCCCGCACACCAGCCAGTGACACATGGTAACTCATTGTCCAGGATTACGTTACTGCTAGGTACATTTGAAGTTCAAGGTTTAACAGAGATATACCTTGGCTGAGGTTGGTGCAATTCCAAGGCCGCTCTGACTGTTGACGGCGAAGGCGCTGGCCACCCAAGACGTGATGGTGTCTGGCACTGTTGTTGAGATGACGGCTTTGCCATCGGCACTGTGGTATTAAATAGTGATGAACACAACCAATAGAGGCGATATCAGCTTATGCCAATACTCAACCAAACAAATACTTGCAGCATTATTAGCATAGTTACTTGGTGAAAATATGTCTCATCTACATAGGTGGAACACTTTTAATCTAATGTGGACTTGTGGACCATTATCAAATGGTATACTAGTATTACGGAATGAAACGGTTTTTTTGCTGATTGCAAAGTGGTGGGATGGTGAGGTGAAATGGGGTTTAACGTCGCGTCCGTGATTATTGCACTTATTTAGCGACGTGCATGCACGTGTGTGTTGGTGTGGCTGCTTGTACTAGTCCGGCTGATGCCGATTTATAGTGCTAGCCTACTGAGATACCATGCCGCAGTTTAACATGAATACACCACTCAGACACAGTCTACTGACTACGAGCCGACCAGTCCTTGTTTTAGCCCCTTAACGCCGAGCGCCAGACAGGAAAACAACAAGTGCCATCTCTTAACGTCTTTTGGTATGACGCGGCCGGGGATCAAACCCCGGAACCTCCGCTCTCCTGGCGGACGCTCTACCACTAGACCTCGGAGGCGGTTGATTGCAATTAAAATAGAAAGCGGATGAGTTTGTGTGTCGTCTTTTGCAATATCCCAGCCTTATTCGTGATGGGGACTGGCTCTCATGCTGGTCCTTGAAGTGAACAGCTGACGCTGTAACCATCAGGTGCCGCCACTCTGAGACATAAAGTGTTGGTTCCTTGTTTTTATTTCTAAATACCCGTTGTCTTTGCAATCAATGTAGACAAACAGAACGCATACATACGATTCCACTTCCCATATCTACCTCACTGTCTGGTTTTGCCATAGCCATGTTTCCGGAAATTCTGTCCTGATTCGTTCCACCTCTTTGAGCCCACCAAATGAAGCATATCCTCCGGCATATCCACCAGAATTAGATCTTCCTCTTCCTCCGAATCCAGCTACTGGACCTGCGCCGCCTGCGCCACCACCTCTAGCAGCTTCGAATTGAAATTCACAATACCGACAGCCATCTGGTTCATAAAGGGCAAGAGAGGGAAGAAAATAAATCAAAAACCAAAACAGGACGAAACGTGGGCATATAAAGATCACATTGCTATAGTCCAGCGTTCTTCTGATGTATGAGGGGCGGTCGGGTAGCCTAGTGGTTAAAGCGTTCGCTCGTCACGCTGAAGACCCGGGTTCGATTCCCAACATGGGTACAATGTGTGAAGCCCATTTCTGGTGTCCCCCGCCTGGATGTTGCTGGAATATTGCTAAAAGCGGCGTAAAACCATACTCACTCACTCTGATGTATGATGTATACAAACTAAGCGCCAGTACCGTTCATTTGTTGGTGATAATATCGCTAACAAGATATTTTCAATTGAAAATCAAACATATGATAAAATCAACTGAGAAGTATAGTTATGTATGTGTATGCTCCTCGGCTTCTGTATGTATGCATATATGGTGGTATGTTAGTATGTTGCTATGCATATATTTTGGTATGTATTTATGCTGTTATGTGTGCTGGTATGTATGTATTTGGTATGCATGTAGGTTGGTATATATGTGGGTATATTTGTTGGTACGCATATATGGTGGTATGTAAGTATGTTGCTATGCCTGTATTTTGGTATGTATGTATGCTGTTATGTATGTATGTAAGTATGTTTGTATGCATGTATGTTGGTATGTATGTATGTTGGAATATATGTATGTATGTATGTATGTATGTTGGTATACAAAGTATTTAAGTGTGTTGGTATGTATATTGGTATGCATGTATGTTGGTACGCACGTATGTTGGTATGACTGTTTGTTGGTATGTACATGTGCCAAAGGTACTTTTTTGTATACTGAAAAGTACCCCAACCCAAATCAGAGGGCATAGAATGAACTCTAGCTTGACTAATGTATGGCACTGGAGAGTGGATGAGTCTTTTCTGCAATATGCAGAAACTGTTCCTTCGCAGACTGTTACGTAGTGTGCACAAAACCGGCGCCCCAACGCCAACCTGACGCGTCATCTCTTTCCAAGCTGAGGTACATATGTCCATTCCAGTTTGGTCAGGGAATACTTCGGAATATATCTGTAGTTCTCTAAACGACAACGACCTCGTCAGCATGACTTACAGTTTCTGGGGCGTTGGTACACAAGCGCGTCAGTCATCACGACAACTCCGGAGTTCTGGAAAGAACACGTGTACATATTTTAGGGTCAGTGCCATTGAGGAAAAAATTATTTCAAGTACCTGCAGTAGCATAGCAAAGAGAAACAACCACTGTTCGCGTTACAATCCGCGTTAATCCATAACTTTGTCGTTGCAAAGGAAATCATCCGCTTTGACGAAGTACGACACTAACGAACCATGGTACGGAGTAATGTCCCTTTGTGTATACATTCTCCAACAGTAAACTCCAGGACTGCGTGCCATAGGATTAGCGGCGTCCGGAGTTACATATTAATTCTGTAAAACATGTGATGTTGTATTCGTTCTAGAACATTCTGTCCAACTGTTGTGGAGCGACAGAATATCAACGGTTTGTCGCCTACAGTTTCAAGTCTAATATCATCTGGATATGAAATCAAACACACCATCAAAACAGGTTCTTGTAAGACATTGAGAAATAGCAAAGAATGTTTAGAATTTCTAGAGAGAACCTTTTCCATTTATTCCAATGAATGAAGCTGTAAAACCTCGTTAATCCGGACTAAACGGTCCCATTGAAGAGAATACACAGTAATGACCAATGTATACTTTCATAGACGTTACCGAAGGAAACGTCCTCGTCATCGAGGTTCTCATACCATATACGACATAATTCATAACTAATCGCTATTTCAGACGTATTTTTACGAGGACGTTTGAAATCTTTATATCATATCAAAATCTATCGACAACAGGGGAAAGCAAAATAACCAGTAAAATAACAGAGTGGTACATTAAAAACAGGTTGAAGAATCCTAAAGATGCTGCTATCAAACAACGGTACCACATACAAATGGGGTTACAGATCGCCAGCAACCAGCCTCAGTACCAGTGGTACCTGCAAGGTTCACATAGTTTCTTTAAAATGAGATTTTCGCCGAAGTTTAGCCGAAAATTAAATATACAAATTTGTCGAGATGAAAACAGTTGCGGACATATTTGGTGTTGTGATGATGACAATCCGACAACGAGGAAACTATGGCTACATGCCTTGAAGATCTCCCTGGCATCAGATCCTCCGTAGTAAGTTGGGTATCCCCATCCACCCCAAGGTGGACTCGACCTCTTGCGCCGGCGACGGCCGCGGCGGACAATCTGCCCTCCTCCTCGCCCTCCTCCTCGCCCCAAAAATGGAATTTCAACTATTCCTTCGTCATAAAAGTTGATGGAGTTATAGGACTTGAGTTCGCTGATAACCTTCAAGCAGCAAATGTATTCTCATCATAATTCAGGTCATACTGCATAAGATCTAGTTGAGAGTACACTTCATACACACCTGTTACGTTTAAACGATCCATTGTGCCACGAATGGACAAATGGTGGTCAGTTATCCATGCCTAAATCATATTGATGTACGCTTAGCATTGATGGAAGTATGTATAATTTTGACATTCTATTCTATACACTCGAACCCTATTTACGGACATGTTATCGTCATCCTGGGCCACAGGGGCACGTAAGAAAACGGTGTCAAACTAACAATTAAATATGTTCAAATATTGGTATAATCCTTAAATCCTTAAACGTGTGAGTCGACATCCGTTATACCTTGTCGGACCTTCACCTACCTGAGATTGTGTGATGTCATTTCCGGACTTGAGGAGGAGGACGCTCTGATCTACGGCCAGGAGGTTGACATGGGACTGGGGGTCAGCGGTGACCTGTACATTGACACTGTCACCAGGCTGAGCAGTTGTCTTGTCCATGGAGATAGACACCTAGCGGACAATATAGATCAATTGATTTGCACTGTTATAATGAGTGAGTGAGTGAGTATGGTTTTACGCCGTTTTTCAGCATTATTCCAGCAATATCCCCGGGTCTTCGGCGTGACGAGCAAACGCTTTAACCACTAGACTACCCGACCGCCCCCTGTATTAATGCGACAATTCTTTCCTGTTAGGATGTCACATTTCACAGCGTTCAAATGATCCCCAGACATTCAAGTAGATCCCCAATGAGGCGAGTAGTCGAACACCTTATCACAGACACACGTAGTGAGAGAGTGAGTGTGTTGGGTTTAACGCGCTTTTAACAGTATTCCAGTTATGTCGTATCAGCTTAATGTGGGAGGAAAGACCGGAAAGGTTTCTGGCGTGACCAGGGGACGCAACTCTGCAGAGCGAATCGCGGCGCCTTAGAGTGAGTGAGTGAGTATGGTTTTACGCCGCTTTTAGCAATATTCCAGCAATGTCACGGCGGGGGACACCGGAAATGGGCTTCACACATTGTACCCATGTCGGGAATCGAACCCGGGTCTTTGGCGTGACGAGCGAACGTTTTAACCACTAGGCTACCCGACCGCCCCGCGGCGCCTTAGACGACTGGGCCACCCGTGCCCCCCAGAAACACGTAGAAGACAGTAAATGAGTTCAGTGTCAGCTTCATGGGATGCCTCTAAGTCATCAAAACGTTACTAGCTGCAAACACTCGCCGTAACACTGCAAACTTAAGGTCCAAAAAATATATGATACCCGAGTCAAATACATCACCATCGAATAACCATTTCTTGTTTGTTTCATTTTAACCACTATCAAACATTGGTGTATACTTTCTTTTGCCCTATGTGTAACTTTTGTTAAAGTGGTTCGCTTCATTCGACTTCAGTAGCAAGTTGACTCTACCTTGTTCTTGAATGCACCTTCCACATCAAAGCTAACGCTGTCTGTGACGATTTCCCCATCTTCTCTGACGTAATACACAATTATCCGGGCATTTGGCGCCATCTTTGGTGTCACCGGGATGGCAAATTTGAAATCTGCCTGCTGGTTTGCGTGGATAGTGCCAGTAGCCACAATGGAACCACGAGACATTATCTGGAAAGAAAGGGAACTTGCAAATTTCCGTCCCGTTGAGAATTGGTAAATGTTACATGTACTTCCACAATAGAAATGGAATAACTGATTGTCATGAAAACATGAATCATTTTCGAAGGTAACTCTTTTAGCAGATATACATATATGCATTTCCCATTGATGGAGTATCAAATGCCTGCTGAAAAAAATCAAATAAAAATATAGGTTCCATCGAACTAATAATCATTTGGTTCATAATTAATTTTTATTGAAAAACACCCGAAAAACTAAAATTTGCATCTACAACTGTGTGAAAAGCGCATACCTGGTACACTAATTCGTTGACCGGTTCTGTGACTTTGACATCGAAATCCACATCGTTTCCAGCCTGCAATAAACAACCAAACATATTTACAGTGGAGTTCATAAAGGAATATCTAACTTTTATCTGTATATCTGACGAGATTGGGTACATTTGACAAAACAATCATTTTGGACGCAAATACATAAAAGCGACAAAACCCATTCCATACGATTCCGACTATATCATAAGCATGTGTTGATGAATCACTATAGAAATGTTATGACAACATGTATTCGCTGAAAGGTGAGCGTATCCTGCCCCACCGGTGGCACCAGTCAAAACACATGCAAAGGCAAGTAAATAAAACCTCTCCTTAGTTTTGGAATTCAGTCATGTACACGCAGGGAGAACTGAAAAGGAATCCTGATACGAATGTTGTAGTTGTACGAGCCTCTACTCGAGTCTGGGTCAGGAAGAACAGTTACGGAAAGCATGAACAGCGATGCACGAAATCTGGTGACAGAGTTTGACAACCCTTCCCAGCAAGAGGCTTTAGGGACCTGTTCTGACAAGGTTGACGTTGTATTGGAAGTAAGATACTTACTGAAAGTTGTTGTGATTTCAGGATCAATTGGATGTAGTTGTCGCTTGGAGAGTAACTCTTGTCGATGGATTTGTAAGCCCTTACAGGGCCATGATATGCCTAAAGCAGAACAAAATGTTTAAATCAAGCTATCAAGCGGTCATTCCAAGCTCTGCTTAATGCCAGAACAAGGTTGACATAATTGTGTTATTTTACGTCACGCTGGTGTGTTTCCATAGGTTCTTGTAATTCGAGAAATTCTTTGAGAAAGTGATCATTTTAACATATGTAATAATTTGGGATTACACTTTCTAAGTAAAGTACATATTCCAGTACCATCTGGGACTCGAACCCACAATTGGGTACCAGAATTTGTTTTTTCACTTTCGTCAGGAAGTGTAATGCAAAATATAACATATATCACATTGTATTGTAATCATAGTTATAACACTGGTGTCGTTAAGCGAATATAGATGATATATAAATATCCACTTTGTTGTATTTATTTAACATGTAACTTCAGGTCTTCCCGCCTTTTGGTATCGCTGATCTTATTGTTTTTTGGCACAAACGGATAAACTTTATAAGACAGAATTTGCTGAATTCTGAAATGAATTGGTTTCTCAGACATCTCAAAATCTGAATGCAACGTAAGCACGTCTATCAAAATGATAGCCAGGTTGTACATGTATGTTACAACAACGACGACCATTTCATGGATTATAAGATTGATCTTAGGTGACTAAGCACCCGAAAAAAAGTCTTAAACATAAGAACCCCCCCATTTGGTAATATTTTCGTTGTGAGTGAGTGAGATGGGTTTTACGCCGTTCTTTTAGCAATATTCAAGCCATATCGTGACGAGAAAAGACCACAAGCCTATCCCACCGCCTCGATTTGTTAAAAGTAGTTGTTTGGGAAATATCCGATATTGATGACACGGTTAATGTGTTATAAACGTATCTTCAGAGGGGCGGTCGGGTAGCCTAGTGGTTAAAGCGTTCGCTCGTCACGCTGAAGACCCGGGTTCGATTCCCGACATGGGTACAATGTGTGAAGCCCATTTCTGGTGTCCCCCGCCGTGATATTGCTTGAATATTGCTAAAAGCGGCGTAAAATCAAACTCACTCACTCACTCACTCCTAGCACCAGAACTTAACCTTCTTGTCAATCTAGTGAATGCGTTAAACATAAGGTAACTGATGTATTCGTACCTCGAGTTTGACGCGGGTCGCATTGGCGGGGATGTTGACTTCTACAGGGACAAGTCCTGTGTCAGGAACCGAGAGGATTTTGTCTGGGAGTGAGAAGGAGGTCGTCCTGGGAAAATAGTACATCGGGGTTGTCTTCTCTTCGATCTCAGCAGTCACCCTAGTGGAAACTCGAACCTTCTGATTGCTGGCTTGAACTGGACGCCCGTCTTGTTGCTGGACTTGCAGCTGTGGAAAAGCACTACAGGAATTAAACATACCCATGATATTTCGTTTGAAACACGAAGCAAACAAATATTTGTCCAACACTGTGTGGATCACCTATCATGTATCATCATAAGAAATATTTCAGAAACATTAAGTCGGTTGAATTTGTACGACCACGAGTTAAGTGCGACTGATACCCTGCAAACATACTTCTGAGAATCCTTTCCCTCACGTGTGAACTATTCTGTCCCCTCTTCCCTAAGAGAAACTAGGATTTGGCATAAACATATATCCAATAGAACCGGACTCTTTCCAAAACATTGGCCTTCTGGAAGATTTCAGTTGCTGGGGCGTCTATAACATGACCTGCTCATGATTTATTATCCTTAAATATGTTTATCCAGTGGGAACGGTACCGTTTGGTCTTTGGATTTCAAGTTTTTATATTAAGCATCTTAGACTGAATGAGAGAGTGTGATTTTATGCCACTTTAAGCAAAATTTCAGCAATATCACGACGGGGTACACCAGAAATGGGCTTCACACATTGTACCCATTTGGTGAATCGAACCTTCAGCATGACGAGCGAAGGCTTTAACCACTAGGCTACCCCACCGCCCAAAACATTTTAGAAGTCAACTTCTTTATTTACATACTCAACGTTTCAAGGCTACTTCGTGTCCCTTCATCTGGTGAAAAATGAACTTCATGAAAAGCGGAAGTAGTAGCCCTTAAGCTTCTTTATGTTATGTGAATAAAGAAGTTATACTTCTTGTTATGGGATTTCATTCTACAATAGAATTAATAAAAATAAAAGCGACAATAGCAATAGCAATAGCAATATCTGCATAAAACAGTCGACTGTACGATTCCGACTATGTCATGAGCATGTGTTTATCACAACAAATCAAATGGTAATGATAGCAGGTGTTCGCGAAAAGGTGACGTATCCTGCCCCACCGGTGGCACCCGTCACAAACACATGCAAAGGCAAGTCAATTTTTCACCTGATAAAGCACGGGAACATATGGTAAAGTCAAAATATGGAATTGCATCGGATATAATTTTTGTCTCTGATGTGTCAAATTTGGAAATTTCCTCCACATATCTACCATAAAACGTGAAAGCTTTACTGATTCCTTGAGTGTTGTAACCTTGATCCAACAACTTCGGAGCAAGAATCGTATGAAATCTGGGTAGAAAGAGCATGCTCGATTGTATCTCAAGGTGTGAAATGTAAACACCAAAGGTTGGGGCTGCTGGAATATTGCACGACATGAACGTCAACGACAGAGAACAATCAATCTCGATTATGTTCCGAAACAGATTCTACTTGGCGTGAAGGCAGTGTTGAAAACTATATGAACGGAACACTGAAAATGAGTAATGACACCAGGTGTTTGCGAAATGGGTAAGCAAGTCCTGCACAACCAGAAGAACCGCCCATAACACAGTTTGCATAAAAAGTAAGTGTTGCCGCAGCAAGAAACCTGCTGTGAGTGTAAACAATTAGGTGAAACTTGTGATCCCAAAGTAAATAGAACCGTCATTAATTATCCCGACTTCCTCATTCATTAATTCACATCATATACCTGATGGTGTTTGATTATGCTGATCTGTTTTAGTCGGTTCTACGACAAGCATAGTTTACTTGGGACATCCTGGTAATAAAAGCAATGGAGGGAGGTCCTAATACATCCCGGTGAAATACTTACGAAGGCGATGTATTTGAGTCCAGGTTTAAATGTGTTTGGATCAGAAGGTGCGAAGGAAAGCTTGACGGCATCCTGATGGATCAGGATCTTGCTGGAGCCGTTCAGGGTGATCCCAGTCAGGTCCTCCGTCACATTAGCGACCACCTGGATCCTCTGCCCAGCCAGACCGAAAGAGCGAACCCTCTTCATCGCCGCCAGTGGGATGGTAACCTTGCTCTCACCATCAATCTGAAGAAAGGAGTGAGATAGAAAGTATGTTTTGCTTTTGGCAATATTCCAGCAATGTCACGGCGTGGGACACCAGAAATGGGCCTCGCTCATGGTGCCCATGTCGGGAATCGAACCCGGGTCTTCGGCGTGACGAGCGATCGTTAATTAGGAGGAAGGATAAAGCTAACACAGACAATGACGACAACACGGCAACAAATAAAATATCATCTCATAATAATGGCGATACTGTATAACAGTGTTATAATAGTTCTGAACACACAATGTCATTTAGAAAGTGGTCAAATGTAACAAATAATATATTGGGGATAACACTTTCCGAGTAAAGTACAGATTCTTGTACCCAACCCAACACAAAAGAGTACAAGAATCTGTACTTTAATCAGAAAGGGTTATCCCAAATTTAACATTTGTTACAGTTATAGATCATTTGCAAATCTGGAAAGGATCACACCAGGGAGAAAAAATATTGGTATTCTGTAGTTCATTCTGTTGTAGCCACTGCACCTTCTATAACTTCTGTTCTGCGTAGCTACCATTTCAATCACAAATAGGTGTTCAGTACCTCCACGTTAGCTATAGCTGACAGGAAAGCATGGAACGATGCCAAAGGACTGGAAGACCTAAAGTAACTGATGACCTTAACACGCCGCCATGTACACCATGACTACCAGATAGACACTCACAATAGCATGGTACTGTAAGCATCGTTTGGAGATTAAGCATCGCCTAGAATGAGAGGTGACCTTTACACCTACAGCTTTCCATTACGTTTGTCCACCTGACATTGCTGCTATTATTGCTACTGGAGGTAATAGGTTCTACTACACCAAATCAGAACCAGTTTGGACATTGCGGTTTTTCATAGGGAGCCTTCAGTACAGATCGAGAGATATCTGCAGGCTGTGATTGGAGGATATTCTGTAAAATTTTTATGTCTTTCAAATGTACATCCATCCAGTTAGTAAAACTGACCATGTTTTTCTATATTTAGTAATGTCTTTTTCAACATGATGACTTATGCTGAATGTGACCACAGCTGTAGGAGACATTTGGTGCGAAACTGGGGGTGTTGTGTTTAGCTTCCGGTACTCGGAAAAGGAGCTGACTAAGCTAGTCATTTTTTATTTTTTATTGCTGCTCTAAGGCCAAACTGTGCACACACGTACAGGTAATAGCTGTTGATTGCTTAGTTATTAAAAAAAAATAATATAACGTTACTATAGAAGTCTATTGGGAAAACATTTGGTTGTGTGTAACCTAATATGCTTGTTTTGCTGTTATGGCACAGCGTCTCTGAATGTATACTCACGTGCCGTTGCTCGTGGTGCGTGTATCACGAATCAAGAATCAAGAATATTTATTGTACAGAACACCCTCGTAGGACAGGGTACAAACTATCTACATTTGGAAATAAATATAACTATAAACATCAGAGGTAGATCTACATCATGTACATTATAAATAGAGATATTACTGTACATATTATTTTTATTCATAATATAAACATATATATATATATATCATGAAGTGGCTGGCAGCTTACACTTTAAAAATGTAGATACTATATTTACAAGACACAATACTTGTGGTAAAGATTGAAGGTCATATGTAGATGTTGCCTATAAGATAGGTTCTTTTGATAAACATGTCAGAGATAATTTGTGAAACATATTTTGCTTTTTCAGCGCAGGATACTTGCAAAGATTTTTATATCATTTTGGCAGTTTAATAAATCTAGTGTTCGAAGAAGTAACTGTCTTTCGTAACGATAGTTTGGACAGTACTAGGGCTGGGACGGGTAACTCGGGTACTCGGGTAGGACCCGGGTACCCACAGTACTACCCGGACCCGTGGTTAGTCACGAGACATATTGTTTAATGACAAAAACTCATTGGAGCTCAGTGGTTACACTACAAGTCGCTAATGTTCCCATTTCTTTCTGATGATGCACACATTCCTTTTGACTTGTATATGTTTGAGTAAGGAAAAAGCTTCAGTCAACTTCAGTGTACGCATGATCTTATCGTTTCATAAGAGACCATATACCTATTATATGGTCTCTGGTTTCATACAGTTTTTGCAAGGGCTACAGTTAAACTATTCCCAGTTAGACATTGTGTTCCCAACGCCTGAGACCTACAGTGGGTACCCGGGTAGGGTCCGGTAATAGGGGGTTGGGTACCCGGGTAGTAAATTTGGACTCGTCCCAGCCCTAGACACTACAAAAGGAAGTATTATTCGTCTTCTATCTTGTTACATATTTTACATATTCGCTGTATCAGTGATCTGAATGCAGTTACTTACAGCCACTGTCTTCTTTACCATCGGCCAGGGAGGATAGTAGTACGGTATTTTGGCCACAATGTTGACTGTCCCCTTCACCGGCTTACCGTAGGTGTACCTGGAAATACCGACACAGTGACACTGGATATGTATATCACATGAACAGAACGCGGATATAATAAGAATAATCTGACTGAGCAATGACCTAACATATTTTGCTGGGACTGGCGCCCACCTTGGACATTGAAGCCGATATAGTAGTAACGTTGTCTCCTGAATGGCATTATACACCTGTATATCTAACTGTTCATCAGCGTATAAAACAAGCATAGTTCATAGTTAGTCTAACCCCGTTGGGATTTCGTGTTAGAGCATCCTATGCAGGTCCAAATAGGAAACCAAATGGATCGAGTGCTCAGTTTCGGTGGCCTGGTCGATTGCGTGTCTTCGCTCCCCGACGGCGTGTATCGTTGCTCACAATACCGATCACTTGATTGTCTGGTCCAGGCTCGATAGGTCGCTTTCATATAGCTTGCGTCAAACAACAAGCACACACACACACACACACACACGCACACACACGCACACGCACGCACACACACACACACACACACACACACACACACACACACACACGCACAAACACGCACACGCACACACACACACACATAGTTATTATATGGTAATGGGATAAATATGGGATAATGTGGTAGTTTGTAATCATGGAGAATCAAGTGATTGAATTATACAGCACTACCAAGACTACTTTTCTAAATGGACGAACGAACGAACGAACGAACGAACGAATTGACTTACTTGGCCTTAACTGTCGCAGTGATATCGTTGTCAGATGCAAGGCCATATGGTGGAAGTTCTACTGTTACCTCAAACTTGGGCAAAACTGAAAATGTTAGATCATCAAGCCTGTACAGTGACCGCCCTAATGTTGCAACTTTGGAAAAATACGAACACCTAAGAATTTTATAATGATACAAAGTGAATAATAATAAAAGCGACGAAACCGACTATTTAATGAGCATATGAATCACTATAAAAAAGTCGTGATACCAGGTGTTCGCGAAAAGGTGAACGCATCCTGCCAAGCGGTGGCACCCGTCACAAACACACGCAAAGGCAAGTAAATTGTTCACCTGAGCAAACATGAGAACACATTGTACAAGTCAAAATAGAGAATTGCATAATAGGACATCATTTTTGTTTAAGGAACGATTAAAGTTAAGTGCGATGCGTACAAAGCCAGAACTCACCATATTCAGCGATGGTGAACACTTTTTCCTTGGATATTTTCTGTGAGAAATATAGGTACATGTAAGTAATATACAACTGATAGTGCTACACAACATCGTAATATAGCATATGTACTACTCATAAGAAGCTAAGAATAACGATATTTTCATATGATCGTAATTAATGGGACATCGCTGGTGGATATTGCAACACACAACCTTGCAATTATCAGTGTTCCTTATCGTTTTTAGTAGTAATAATAATAATAATAATAATAATAATAATAATAATAATAATAAGTCCATTTATTCAGCGCCAGATTCCATTCACCAAGTTAATGCTCATGGCGCTACATAGTTTTAGCACATGGTCCTGATGAAAGGGGAGTAGAGTTGATAGTGTTGTCTGAAAAGGTGTGTTTTCAGATGAGCCTTAAAGGATGAAAGCGATGGCGACAGTACATGTAGTAGGGCGTGTATATTCATATATCATTTAATGGAACATATACTAGGGATTAGAACGTTTTACTTTTATTCTTCTTATTGTAACAGAATATAAGAACAACGATGTTTCATACTTGATTCTATGAGTGAGTTAGACAGTTAAGTAACTATGAAGTTTGTAATTATAATTTTGAAGATGAACGCCACGTCTTCAGAATATACTACCGCGATTCACTCACACACTCCTAACTACAACTTACACCTGCTGTGACCTTGATCTTCCAGTCACCGAGTACAGGTTGGCTGGAGGTGGGGAGGTAGTTGGTGATGACGCCGCTAGCGTCCTTCAGTCTCATCCACTGCTTGATTTTGTTAGAATTGGGATCCTGAAAACATTGAAAAACATGGAGTATTCACACTGGACGACGATGCAAATTACATCTCTGTGTGATATCATCAGAAACTGGAAATATGTTATCCATTTATGTAAAATTATTTCAATGGTATTGTGTATTGGCACCTTGCCAATAATTAATGAAATGAAGTCGTAAAGCCGTAAAGTGTTACTCACGAAGATGTCGACGTTCATGGCGCCGGTGTACAGCTTCGTGTCGGGGAACATGGCAAAAGCCCGGAAATTGACTGAAATTAACCCCAAAAATCAATTGAGATGCAACACAGACTCGCATTGAAAGATAAATGCGCATGTACACACTTGAGTGATCGCGCGGATACTATTACCCGTTAAACATACTGTAGAGTGCGAGATGCGAGACAGTTCGGTTCATGAATGGGACTCGGCCGCAGGAGAACAAAACCATGCGGTGGCACTGCATCCCCGTGGGGATTCCGGGTAAGAATGGGACCCAAGTACCCAATGCTTAGCCTACTATGATGAGAGTGAGTGAGTGAGTATGGTTTTACGCCGCTTTTAGCAATATTCCAGCAATATCACGGCGGGGGACACCACAAATGGGCTTCACACGTTGTACCCATGTCGGGAATCGAACCCGGGTCTTCGGCGTGACGAGCGAACGCTTTAACCACTAGGCTACCCGACCGCCCCACTATGATGAGAACGAGGTGAACAAACTGTGACCTATATGTGACCGATGCTAGACCAATGTGTGACCAATATGACCGATGTGTGACCAATCGCATCCCCAACCCCAAAGACACAGACGTGCATGCACACGGACACACACAGACACATACACACAGACACAGACACGTAGACACACACAGGCACACATACCCACACAGACATACACGAGAAAAGAAACATTGAAAAGTGATGACAAGTTTATACAAATCTCATAGAACAGATAATAATTAAAAAGTGAATTATTTCAGTTGAATACCATTAACATGTATCGAAACAATGAAAGCATCACCTGTTTGTCCAGGCTTGTACATCGCCTTGTCGGTCTGGATGAAGATGGACATGCCTTTGCCGCTGTACCGCAGGGTTGTCTCGTTCTTGAAGGCCAGTCCACCATTGCCCGACACTTCCAGCTTGTAGCTACCGCTTTTCAGATTTTTCGGTACCTAGTCATAACATGCATGGTTGAAAAAGTGAGATACTTATTTAACGCATGTAGACACAGTAGACATTAAGTATAAGCAAAATGAGTTAACCAAAGAAACATGAAATGATTTTCGATTGATTTCAATTTCCAAAGCGATGAATGAGTGAGTGGGTTGGGTTTAACGCCGCTTTTAACAGTATTCCAGTTATATCGCGGCGTGTCAGTTTAATGTGGGTGGAAAGCCCGACGCGATGCATGCGCAGGTCTCAGACGTTTACAACTTCGGTGAAACCCACGAGCACGGGTATGGTGCTGACAAACCTAGAAACATAATCGGGGCGAACCGGGATTCGAACCCACAATCATAGGTTTCTTGCGTGCCAAAGGGACGCAACTCTGCACAGCGAATCGCGGCGCCTTGGACGACTGGGCCACCCGTGCCCCCAAAGCGATGAATGAAGAATCATAAAGACGGATCAATGGATACTGTGTAGATATATATATGAATGTATGGATCAGATGATAAAATTTTTTCACAAAATATTGAATTACCTTAAGTGTTATACTTTGGGGCTGATCTGAAATAAAAGATAGAAATCATTTGAGACAGATATGTACAACCATGCTGTGACGGGAAGAACAAACGTCATCACGAAACCCAAATTATCTACTTCAAATAACAATGTCATTCCAGAATTTTACTCATTCATCAGCTGCATATACCTTGTCTCACAACACCTCTTGCAGAAGCCACGGTTTGTCTCCCTTTAACGATCGTGGCTTTGACAGTGACGTCCGAAGTGGCATTGAGGATGTTAACGCTGACCTCAAAGTCCATGCCCGGCCGAACGGTTGTTGGGGACAGTACAACATAGGAACTGGAAGGGATAGAGGACGTTAAGTTGGTCCGTTTGTGTATCTAGCATCAAGCAGGAAATTGGTACATATTTTCCTGCATCTAATAATGTTCGTTATATGATATGCTAAGCAAGAATATTATTATGTTGATTATTGAAAATGATCGCAAATGCATAAAACACCGATGGAGAAGAATGAGAACCGGCTGAAAGGAGAAAGTATGAAATTTGGTATGTCAACCCATTGCTTGTCCTGATAAGTGTGACCGCCTCCATGGTCTAGTGGAAGAGCGTCCGCCTGGAGAGCGGAAGGTCCGGGGTTCGATCCCGGAACGCGTCATACCGAAAGACGTTAAAAGATGGTACTTGTTGTACTGGACTGGTCGGCTCGGAGTCAGTATACTGTGTCTGAGTGGGGTATTCATGTTAAACTGCGGCATGGTATCTCAGTGAGCTAGCACTATAAATCGGCATCAGTCCGGACTAGTACAAGCAGCCACACAAACACACACACTTACATGCACGTCGCTATATAAGTGCAATAATCTTGAACGCGGCGTTAAACCCCATTTCACCTCACCTGATAAGTGTGACATGATATTTCTACATGGCTGCACAATGCCAGACTGAATGAACAGAGAAGCTCACCCCAGTATATTTGATATTGATATCGATCAAATACACCAACAAGAGTCGAATAAAGTAGCCAGACTCCAAAGGGTTTCCAGTGTTGAATTATTTGTAATCAAAAGACATGAGGGTGAGAGTATATATATATAATCTAATATCATTCTCAATCAGTAGGTGACAAATAAACAATAAATGTTATTCATAAAAGGAATCACGTCTTCAAAATGCCTTCTTTTGTAGAGAGTTGGTTTATGATTTTGTAGCGGCCATAAAATTTCCGAGTACAGTGATGGGATTCGAACCACGGACCTTCTGTCCACATGACCAAAGAGGTTAACCCCGTCAGCAAGCTGACAAGGTAAGGACGTCATCTGTGGGATGACTCCACGCCCTGCTACATTCTCCTCCGTCAACAGAAGGCACGTCCCGGGCCGCATAGTAGGACACAGAGGCTTATTTTGCTTGTATTTAATATGAAAGTGCTCAGCCCCACGTTAGGCGCCAATGTAGCGGCCATAAAATTTCCGAGTCCTGTGATGGGATTCGAACCACGGACCTTCTGTCCACATGACCAAAGAAGTTAACCCCGTCAGCAAGCTGACACGGTAAGGATGTCATCTGTGGGATGACTCCACGCCCTGCTACATTTTCATAAATAGTGCCAGTCTGTGTAGCGACGTCTCATTATTGCATCACAGACAAATATGACGATGTTGCTTCTATGCTATGACGTCACAGGCATGGAACGATTTCACCTTGCACTCAACCACATCCCAAATAACCAAAGGGTTCGGTATTGTTACTTTCTTGTCGCAGCAATGTTGGAATGAAATGTGTCAATGTATCTTTATGTAAGAGGTCTAAAGAAGAATCATTTTTGATAGATTTGAATATTTAAACATAAGCAAACGCGCGTGTCAATCAACTCATGGGTGACCAGGGAAGTAATAGCACCTAGAGATATCGACATCTGTCACAGCAGTGGAAGCCAGCATTGGATAATAAGGCTCATTATCAGCCATCACCAAGGCAAAGTCGGTAAACTTGAACAAAACCTTTCAGGAATACCTTAAAGAATAACATATCTACGTCATTGCTTCGTGGTAGTGGCAGTACCAGGATCAGGATCTGTTTATGCACATCACGACAACAGAGTAAACTTTTTCAAGACGAGGCGAGAAAGCTAATTTTTTTTAGATTTAATGAGCGTGAGTAACCACCTTGTTAAAATGTCAGATAATGTGTACACGGGAATCCTACCTGTCTATACGCGAACGCGACCCGTCTCAGTCGCTTCCTGGTCTTTGCCCTGGTCGAATATGCTGCACCCTTAGCTAACTCATCATGGTACAATATTTCTTTCGGTAGAAGTATGTTTAAGTAAACTTCACCCTTTTCTTAATTATCTACAGGTACATTGGACTTTGCAGCATGTGGCTGAGTTGATTTTAGTAAATCTGTGAGCATTCTGTAGAAGTTTACAAGAAAGGTTAACAGCTACATGTATGCATCAACAACCTTTGACGTGGAAATGTCAATCGACATCTCTCGAATTCCAAACACACTAATCTTCATTGTATTCATGGACATGCGGTGCTTGCAAAATCTATGCGTAGCTTGTAAAGAAACATCTGTTAGCGATATCTACATTGGGTTAGTGTGTTGTCTCACTCCGAACTCGGCATTATTCCAGTTATATAACGAGCGCCTGTAATTGATCGAGTAAGACAAACCAGTGATTTGGAGAGACGGGAAGGCGCAGCCAACCTTTTTATGCAAGCCTACTATAGTTGGACTTCAACTACATTGAAAATGACTATCATTTCCTTCTTCTTTGTACTTCATATCCAACATTACGTTGATCCATATTTTCACACTAATCCATCATATGAAAAATTTGTAAATCTTATGTCTTCTAAATGTAATTACACTATAACACAACTTGCTTAATATATCTACAACGCTTTTAGATTACGCGAGTCATTCACAATTCACTCATGTATTATTTATGTTATTAGTGTATTATATTCCTTTCATGTATACACTTTATTGATATCATGTATGTTCTAGGGGCCTATGGCCTGAAACTTGGAGGAAATACACTCTCTCTATATATAATACATTTGGAATTTATATTCTGGACGTGTAGAAAGTGTAATGATAGGTAACAGATAAAAAAAATTGTTTTTAACCGAATTAACATATGACGACTAAAAGCATTTTGCTTCTCAAATTATTTTCGTTCAAAACTCACTTGGATGTTAACATGTGATCCCGTAATGCAACAATTTAAAAGAAAATGCTTTTACACTTGCTATGTCCATGAGGATTGCGCGTTAGAATGGGTGCGGAGTTAAACAACAAACAAATATAGCAAACAAATATGTAGTGGCGTACAAACCTAGCTCACCAATACACTCTCTTACCCACTAGACGATAAAACAATTAAGAGTGAGTGAGTGAGTTGTGTTTAACAGTATTCCAGTTATATCACGGCGTGTCAGCTTAATGTGGGAGGAAAGTCCGAAAAAAACACAAAGGAACATGAAGCAACATAAATTTTGAATTGGATTTTCTCGATTATCACTTTTTGTATGCCATCAATATTCAGAATAACGAACTTTAAGTAAATTTGTAAATTTACAACCTTTGTACATTTGTAAATCGTATGTTTTCAACATGTAAGCGTACAATTAATGAACTGTCTAAACGTATATCACGCTATGATATTTAAAATGTCGCTCCACATGTAATGTTTATTTAGTTATATGTAAATATTCATTGACATGCCAAATATTATGACTCTGTATGTCTATGCGCATGTGGCCTTAGAACTTATCAATAAAACTCATTATTACTAGAAGATAATGCTGTGTACTTACTCTTTTGCGAACGCCGCCCCCAGGAGAGCTGCCAGGAAGATCTTTAGCATCGTGGCGAACTGAAGAATTAAACAAAATATCTGCTGAAAATCTGTCTTTAAAGGCATTTCGAAGTGATACACATGAGGAAGAAAATTAATGGATGTCAACTTCTAAATTACGAAGAACACAACGTCTATCTGCGCCAGTTATCTCGCTTCCCTTGTTAAGTTTCACCTTTTGTTATCTTATTACTTTTGTTTTTCTCACGTGTGCACCCTCTCTGACTCATATCATTCATTCAGGACTAAGGAATAAGTATATACTCCGAAACGTTTTGTTCCTGATAATAAAGAAGTTGACATCCACAAATTCTCTTCCTTAAAATGTAAGGTTCCCGATATGCGCAAACTAACTTTTGATGATTTTAGGAATTTGTAAACAAAATCTGTTTGCCAGTTTGGAAGCATATAGCAATTTATCATTACTAAGTAATTACTCAACTGGTAATTAAGTTATTAAATAGTTCAATTTAGTTTTTCTAATAAATGAAATAAGTTTCTTTTAAGAGGCGCCATGCGCTGTTGTTAGTGTAACATTATCACTTTTGACATCAATATGAAATATGTCTGTTTATCATCACAACGTTTCGAGTTATGATGCTTGAGACTGTCTGCCGCACAAATTACATTGTTGCAAGGTGTATTTTATTTAAGAAATATTTAGACTCACAGTTTTAGTTAAAAAACTATCTGGTTTTGCAGCTGTAGCTGAATGTATAATTATCTAGTCTCCATACAAAAAGAGTCAGTTGTACAAAACATGTTTCTACAGAATATTCATGTAGAAACCGTGTATTTACAATATGACCAGTCATGATTAGTATTTTTTCACTGCTCGAATTTTAACATTGTGAGTCTCAACATGCCATATGGTATAACAGCTGTAAACACAATGAGCGTAGGGTATTGCTTATGAAATATCAATATCACTTCATAACTCTCTTATTTATCTACTGCTTCCGTGGTCTAAAGGTAGAGCCCGGAGAGCGGAAGGTCCGGGGTTCGATCCCCGACCGCGTCATACAAAAACGTTAAAAGATGGTACTTGTTGTTACCCTGTAAGGGGCTTAAACAAGTACTGGTCCGCTCGGAGTCAGTATACTGTGTCTGAGTGGGGTATTCATGTTAAACTGCGGCATGGTATCTCAGTGAGCTAGCACTATAAATCGGCATCAGTCCGGACTAGTACAAGCAGCCACACAAACACACACACTTGCGTGCACGTCGCTATATGCAACAATCTTTGACGCGGCGTTAAAACCCATTTCACCTCACCTCACTTCTTATTTTTCTGCAGAATGATTTTAAAGAACACTTCAATCAACAATCAATCAACAAATTAACTGAAGCAATATAATATTTATCCCAGTAACGTATGAATGTTAAATAGTAAACATGATGACCATCGACAATGCAGATATACAATAGCTGCGCTTAGGTCAGGCCAGTGACGTAAAGGTCACTTGACATTTCATGAATAGTTGAAGAAAGTGAACAAGGCTCGAGCTTCAAGAAAATTTCAAGAAATATAAAATCACAGCAATACACAAATATGAACCTTCTCACCTCAACATGTCAGGCTCTCATCTCATCTCCGACAAAATGAGCGTGTCTTATATAGCATCCCTTCAGTTAAACCAGTTGACATTGCAATATCGCAAGTGTCTTTAATATATTCCATTCAGGTAGGCGTGCACCAGGATGACATTTGAACAACACGGATCTGCGGTCGCTGAAAATACCTCCGAGTTTACACTTTATGTTGAACAACTTCGCTACACGTTGGCTGCATATTTTGAGGTTCATGTTTTTTTTCATCTAAGCGAAGTCAGTGTAATGTTTTGAAGTCGAGAAAGAACAAGTTTTCTTCGAGTTATTTGGTTAGGCAGCAATAATCTCAATTACAAATTGAAGGGGACGAATGGTCCATGAACCGCAATTGGCTGTGCAGAGTTGCGTCCCTTTGTCTACCAGGATCCAGTAATCGTGGATATGAATTACAGACTTGCATCTTCCTCCTACACTGAACTGCCAAGCTGTGATATGACTGGATGTTCTTCAAAATTTGTTTGTTTACTTGTTGTTTAACGCCGAACGGCAATATTTCAGCTATATTACATCAACATGTAAATAATCGAGATAACAAAGTGGTCGATATTTCGAGCATCGATCCATGCCGTCGGGGTACGATGACACGCAATCAACCAAGTCACCACACCTGACTACTCGATGCATTTAGACGCTTCTCGCGACCAGCAAAGGTTACTGGGGACCTATTCTTACTCCTTTGAGCTACATTTTCCTTTGAAAAATATAACTTCTAATCCCTACATAATATTAAGCGCCCCTTCCATTAAGGATTCTGGAGAATCATTCAACAGTGTTTAAAAGGCTTAGATAAGGAAACAGGCACATCTAAATAACTCAGTGTACTACTGTATAACCACAAACGTTCTACATTGACACATACATGTACAAACATTCACGACTTACAAGACTGAAGTCATACAGTGGAATGTTCATGTTGCTGCAGTGGTGTCCACTAGGTATGAGATCAGAATTATTAAGACCTGACAGAGATGGGTGTTGGGTGGTTCCAAGGTTTAACCTGTCTGATTGAGTGTAATCGTATCACGAATGAGCGTATGCTGTTTTGTGCCGCAACTCTCACTATCTCATATATATCACGGCGTCGTGCAAACAATCCAGCCTTGGCAACAGAAACCGTAGGTTGGCCGCAAGAGCAATGAGCCATGATGTCGGGAAAGATAAGACAACCTATGTGACAACCATATCCTCCGCTTTTGGCCCCTGGGATAATTGGGACATATTGTTCCCAACAAACCCGCACTGGATGGAGAAAACGCGTATCATGAAAGCTTGGATCGTTGCTCATGTTGACAATCAGTAATTGATTGTCTGGTCCAGTCCTGTCGCGTTGTTAGATAATCATTAGACCTTTCTCCTAAAAGCAGTAGTGATGATACCATGGAGTTCTCTAATAGGTGAACGTGTCACGTTCCACCGGTGGCACCCATTATTGAGCGATAATTGGCCATCGATATACCCGAAGCTTAAGTTAAATTCCTGTGTTTTTATTTGGCCAAATTCCGATTTATATACATTATGAAGCATATCAACAAGGAGTGAAGAACAATTGTTTCTCATGGGAATGCCTTCTCCTTGCCTAAATGTCGTATAGAGAAGATATCAGATGTAGTTACACTGGAGTGAAGCCTGTTATCTACACAAAAGGGTAGTAAACATGCTGACCAGCGAACTCAGTTTTCTAAACAAAAGGGTGAAGCCAGTATAACAGAAGGATTATGACTGATAGGGGTCTTTGATGAGTTGATTGTAGTGAAGGCCAAACTAACTCTATATCTGAGAGATGCACAGCTGCTCGAACATATATAACAGAACAGCCAAAAATAAAAAAATAAATTATATAAATATACGAAAAAATAAATCATACAAAAACAGAAATTCTAAGAATACCAAACTCGCAATAGATATGTGTACCCTACTTACACACATGAGTCCCAAAGAGGGACAGGTCAGCCGAAATTGCCAGGGCAGTAGGCGACCTCTTGAACACTTAAAGCAACAACACTCTGTACATAACTTGCTTGATAACGGTGTTAGAACCTACACCGAAACGTCCCTCCTAATCGTAATAAAGAAGTTGTTCATCCATATATCTTATCCTTAGTAATCCAACTTCTAAATGCCTCTCAGAGAAGTTATTTCATGTAGGGCAGACAGACTTTGGTTGACTTTGGTTGGAGCAGAATGATATGGTGTTTGTACCGAGAAAAGGAATATGCTGTTTGTACGTCATGTTGGCAGTCAGTTGGCTTGTTATGACATCGCTGTATACAAACAATCGAATCCAATAATGCCATCTGGACATTCAATAAGATTGACGGCTTTTAAGACTATTTAATATGGTATATTAACACTTTCATGCAAAGTGATTTTGTTGGTAGAAATATTTATGTTGGTACCAATGTATGCTGTCTGTATCGTTTTTCATTGACATGCCAGTGTTTAAAAGGTTTTGTGCAGTATGTTTTAGCTGTAAAGTTACGTTTGAAGTCAGGATCAAGTCTTGTAATTGTGTTTTGCTACGAAATAATGTACTGAGATGCGATCTCCATCTTTGCTGAAGATGTTTGATGATGTTAGGTAATGAATCTTCATGACAACACGAAATATGACGATTCAACTCATGATAAGATTAAGGTGTTCATACATTCATTTAAAATTGACCAACAAGTGTATGGTTTTAATTAATTTAGGAAATATCTTCCCAAATATATATATGTTTCAAAATCAAGATATCATACTCCCATACCAACACCATTGCATCCAATTTTTTTTCAAAACAAAAAGTCATGCAAAGTGCATTCGATGGCACATCCAGCAAATGTGTTTGCAAATACATCCACATTTTTTGGAAGGATTCACAAGCTCCGTGAGAATTTCTATGACTTCGAAATACCACTTTTGTCACAAAACTAATTTCTTACAAGTCTTGCTAAATGAAGTGGACATGGTAACCATTGTTGGTGCATTCAGACCCGTTTCACGTCATCGTACTCCAGCCGCGTAGAACGTTAAGTTGCTCATAATATCGATCACTGGATGGTCTGGTCCTGATTATTTTCAGGTTCCATCTCAGCCTGAATTTTGCTGAGGACGGATACAAGAAAACAACTAAGTCATCCACCAATACACAGTTCCAGTTGTAAAAAACTATTCAGCGAACTACTCATAAAGTAGCATGTTTTTACAGATTTATAATGATACGGTTTTTCCACACCGCCATTTTTTGTGTTTAGTTGCATCCCTCAGGTATGTTAGGAACCTATGCTCGGGGGTTCGAATCTTAGACTTGCAGTGGTTATAGTATTTGGTTTGTCAGTACCAAGCTAGCACCCGTGGATTTCCCCAAGCTGGTCAACGTCAGCGTTACAACAGGCTTTCCTTATAGCGAGTTAACTAAAATACTGTTCAAGTACACACCCGGTGTAAACACGAACATTCTTTTTGAGGTTTTGACGAGTCATTTGATTAATTATCATTAGCATTCATTCATCCATGTTGATTATTATGTGCATGTACAGTGTCATGTTGACACATCTATATCCACCTACCAATTGCAACAATTGTGTTGGGAGAAGACAAACAGGCTGTAATCCCTTGAATTAATTGACAATAATACCTTCAAACAACCTATTCATGAATGTCTGTAGTGTGCCTGCCGTGATGGAGATATTCGTTATCTACGGAAGTGAGATATACAGAAAAACGACCACGGGATAGTCACCACCTCATTTAAATCAGATGTTAGTTCTTGCTACTGCTTCACAAAGGTCTAAGGACATCCCCTTACGGGGTCACGTCAGAACGATCTTTCACCCGACCAATCAGAGCGCCACCTACCAGATCAGGAAAGTGACAGTCGAAATATGTTTTCTAATCATGCAACCTCGAAAAGGCTCACACGGGTTATTCCGAACGACAGGTACGGGCTGTACGACGGCTGAAATTGTCGTACATCTCTCGCTTCAATGGGATAAACATTTGAACGAAAGAGACTTTGCATAGCCCATGGGAAGTACAGTAAACTACGGTTATAACGAAGTCAAAGGAACCACTAATTTTAGTTCAATATAACCGCAGTTCGTTATAAGCGTGTTCGTTATAATCGTAGTTTACTGTACTGCAATATAGTCTCGGCCATCTATTAGACATTCGATGATTTTTTTGTGCATAATTCATATAATTTTAACCGCTTTTGTTCCTTTTACGCCACATGCTATTTGTTTCGGCGAATAATCGAGATGAGTTATTCTCTGCCGATGACGTTGTGATAAATTCAATACAACAAAGAGTATGTTTATAATGGACATTTTATTACATAAACCTGCAACATGAAATGTGTAGAACACATTCTTCCTTCTTGATGTTTCCGAATGTGACGTGATCTCTGTGTGGTGGTTCTCTCAGTGTGTTCATCTCCCGGCCTTGGCCTAGAAATACAGACGTCAAAGTTGTCAAATAATTTCTGCAGTGAAATCTTGCACACATCACACAAATAATGCACACATAGTCTGCCGTTCAACCATACGTACATCACGCAGCTGATATACACGTAGTCTGCCGTGCAACCATACACACATCACACAGCTGATGCACACATTGTCTGCCGTGCAACCATACACACATCACACAGCTGAAACACACATTGTCTGCAGGAAAATCATACTGACAGACATAATTAGAGGAACATGTACTAATGGAAGGCTTTGTGTGCTCTACCACGGTATATATTACATCGTAACTCCCCTGAAACTGACTTGAGTTCATCGACAAGGTAGTGTATCATCAAGACGAGACAACACCCAAACCCAGTTGTCTGTTTACCTGGTTTTGTTCACATATCTTCGATTATATTATACAGATACAGTAAACTACGGTTATAACGAACTCAAAGGGACCACTAATTTTATTTCCTAATAACCGTAGTTTGTTAAAAGCATATATACAGCAATTGGCCTGGACTAAGAAATAGGTTCGTTATATCGGTCAGTTCGTTATAAACGCAGTTTACTGTACAGTACAATGGAAGTGCATTTAAG